AACACATAATATAAAGAGGTTTAGATAAAAGTAGTAAGTAGCTCCATACCATATATAGCAATAAAGGAAAGTGGCAGCAGTTAAATTCTATAATTATATCAAAGAAAAACAACTTAAAATTAAGTTTGTGAAACACTAATTTTCAATGAAAAAATATCATATAATAATTATACAAATTTTATACACATACATAAAAAATCTGACTCCACTAGAATCAAAGGATTTGATCTAACAGATCAGAAAAAACTAGGGTCAAAATGGGAGCATTTTATTTATAATTTTTTTATTATAATATTATAATTATTTAATTAGAATAAAGATTTATATAAAAATCCACTAAAATCATTACTTCTAAATATAAATTTTATATAAAGTTTTGATAAAATTTTATATAATTTTAATTTATAATTAATCAATTGTACTAAATATATAATTGTTATAATGGATATATTTTGAAATCCAAGGCACATATATCTAGAGCTGTCATCGGGTCGAGTTCGAGACATGTTTTGTTTGTCTCGAACTCAATCCGACTACATGTGTTATCAAATTTGAACTCAATTTTATTAAAATTTTTTTTATTTTTTATACCCAACATCGATCAGATATTATATAAATCATATTCAGCTCGATTCGAAATTAATAAAATATTATTTTTTAAATATAAATATTTAAAATATTATATATAAAATATATATAAATAAAAATTTAAATAATTAATTAAAAAATAATTTTTTATATAATATCGGATCGGAATCCATATTTACTTAAAACTCGAACTCAATTCGATTTAACCGAAATCTGAATTTCAAAAAAAAAATATCCCGTAAAGTCATATCGAATCAAAAACCATTGAAAATGGATTAAATTGTCGGCCTACGTATGTCTTGACCGATACCAATAGTATGAGCCGAAGGAAGCACAAGGAAATCAAAGGTGTTTTGGGTCAAAAGTCAGATTTTATTTATTATTTTCTTACGGGGAAATATAGGCATCTTAATGGGCGGCTCCATAATTTCTTGCCCCGTGATATAAGGAGAGATGTGATCTCTCATATTTTCAATTTTTAAATATAAATTAAGCCCATTAATTATTATTATTATTATTCACATGTCAACAAATTTGAATTGGTTGATAAGATTTCAATATTTTATTTATAAAATTTAAATTTGAATCCTATTGCTTATAGTTCTTTTTTATAGATGATTTGTAAATTTAATGAAAGTCTTTTAATCTTAAACTTAAAAAATCTCCTCTCATCTTAAATTTTTTTTACTGAAAAGATCAACATATTTTTAGGAAATCGTAATGTATGAATAAAAAAAAATTGATTGTAAAACTAATTTTATTATATATAATTTTTTAAAAGTGATTATATAAATTAACTAGATTTATTCAATAATTAGTTTTTATAAATGTACCTAATAAAATATATGTTAACTCTCTAATTTTATTTGTGATATTCAAAAATAAAAAACCGAGGTATAAAATAATAACCCAAGTAGTAAATACTAATTCCTATGATTTAGAAGTGTTTATAAACAAAGTCAAATTGGGTTTGATTCATACTTTATAGTAATAGTTTATATACTTGTTAAGATTCAATTCAATATGATATTTTAAGTTTTAAAATTTTTTCAAATCGATTAAAGGTGAAAAAATAAATTAGAAATTAATCCACTCATTAATTTTAATTTGTATAATAAAAAATAAATTTTTTTAATATAATATTTAAATAAAAATTTACATATATATACTATATAATTATAATATTTTAATTATATATATTTTATTCGAGTTGGGTGCGAATTTTTATTATCCAAACTTTGATATGAAATTTAAATAAATCTAAAAATTGTATTTAAATTTATTTAATGTACCTTAATTTTTTATCTAAACTTTCTTAAAATTTGAATGAACTTTTAAATTTAATTAGATAGAGACTCTGACATTTGAAGAGTTCTACTATGACTTTAAAAAAGAAATAAATTTTGATTATTTTTTCTTGAGCAAGAAAATGAAACATTCGCTTGGGTCCAAGAACTAGATAACAAATTGTTTAAATTCAAGGGTTTGAAACTTTTGAAGTGACATTGAAAGGGATGGCCCTGTCCTTAAAAGGATTAATCCAAAATGTCTTTTTTTTTTTTTTTTCATTCTATAGTTAGATTGGAATTATTAATAGGAAACAACCCATTCCAGCTAATTATTGTGTTTTTCATAATGTTGTTTGGTGCTTTGATTTGTTAATTCTTCTAGGTGAATTTGAAGCATAAATGAATCATTAATAACTAGCAAAAACAATGTAAAGGTTATAAGTTAAATGATATCAACTCAATCAATGAATTAATAAAAAATAAAATTATAGAATAAAAATATGTATTAATAAGATCATATTAATAATTTAATTTCTTAGAAAATAAACTTAAGAGTCCACACTTTTAAACCCATTTTCCCACTTTTTATTTGAAAAATTTATACATACAATTATTGGACCAACAACAAACAAATGAAATCATATATCTTTTAAATTATATTAAAAATATTTTAATTCTGATAAATGAAACTCTTTGTTTATGAACTAAACTTGTTTAATGGTTATTTTTAATTGGCCCGAACAAAGAAGCAGTACACATTATTAGATTTGAGTACTAAACCAAACTCCATTACAATGAAACTCTAAATTAAAAAAAAAAAAAACTTTAGTTGAACACATTAATTAATGAAAAAAATAAAATGTCCTCGAGACACATTTATATCATAGTTAATAGAATTTGATATTTTAATTTAGAGATTTTAAAATATTATTAAAATGACATGACGGTAATTTTTTTTAAATTTTTAATATATTCTTAAATATTTTACATTATATATTTTGATAAAGAGTACATCATGTATCTCAATTCTCTCGAACCTATAATTTTTAAATATTAATTTTAATAATATAATAATTGATTCAAAAATTAATCAAGATGTTATTTTAAAATGACAGTAGATTTTCTTTTACACAAAAAAATTATCATAACTATTCATTTCTCCCCCAAGAATTTAAAACAATCCACACCATGCAAAAGAGTATCCTCGAAAGAATTCACAGCCAAGCATTATTAAATTTTCTGTAGCTGCCTTCAAAATCAAAATCATTAGGCGGGACCTCAACTAATCTGGTTCACCAATCTGCATCAACCAAGGGGTATTAAGTTACTTTATTTTGGAACAAGTTACCGTTTGGTTTTTCTCATGATTACATTGTCTGGGGCAACCCTGATTTACTCCCCGAAGTAAAACATAGTTCGGTTGGTTTTTCTTTTTTTTTTTTAACCACATATCTCTGTTTAAAAGCTTTTCTGGTAACAAATATAAAGCTGGAAACAAGCTGTGTCGATGGATTATCGGGTAGGGTAGTGGATGGGTTGTGTACAATGCAAGGCAATGATAAAGTGGGATTATGTAGGTCAGTGATCACCTGCTGCATGTGGTTCTGGAAATGTTGGTTGCATCGTCCACGTTCTTTGCATGAAAACTACTTTAGCATTTAAAACCTCCATTGCTTTGATTTGGAGGGCTGAGGCTGATTAAAAGGCTTTGTTTCTTCAATTCGGCCGCCCTGTCTGTCCTGTTTGTAAGGGCAAGTTCGTAGTTGGACCAAAAAAGAATAACTCTCGTTTGGTTTAATTGGTTCTTTTTCAACGTTCAAACCTCACACTCATTCCAAGGATTCAAGAGGGATGATTTTTAGTTGGGTCTATTGATTGAAGAAATGGAAATCATAAGAGAAACCCCCAACTTTTGTCCCCAAAACCATAACCAAAAGTCTTTTTCAAAATAAAAATCCACGTAATAACTAAAAATATCTCAAATTCAAATGTTACAAGGAACAAAAACTATTTAACTTTTGGTTACTTTATGGCAATTAATTTCATAAAACATTACAAGAAAACAACTGTTTAACGTCTTGTCACTAAAAACCCATTTTTACTGATGAAATTTCAACGGAAAAAGAGAAATCAAAATTTTGAAGATTTCATTGGAATTCCATTGGCAATTACCTCAAAATTTATCAATGGAACTGAATTCTATCGATAAAATTTGACATCATTTTAGTACTTTTGATGCATTAATTTTTATGAAATTTCTACAAAATTCCACTGTAACAAGAGTATTATAGACGAATTTTTGTGTGCTATTGCGATAACCATTCAATCCAATATTTTTATTTACTATATTTAACCTTGATCCGGTGACATAATCATCTCAAGTGAATGATCTTAAACCAACTAATGAGACAATGCGGTGGCAATTTCGTTGAAACGGAATTAACCAAATTAATCGGAGAAATTTGGTTTAGTTCAAAAGTAAGCTTGATTAAATCAATTAATTCATTTAATATAATTTTAAAATTTTTAATCGATTAACTGATTAAGAGATCAAATTATATAGATTGATATAAGCATATAAGAATTAGAGCAAATCGTCACATTAATTTTTTTTTCTTAAATTCCGTAAAAATTGAATAATTTCAAACAATTTGGGACAAAAAAAAACGCTTATATTAATTCATATCATTAGATTGATTAACCCAATTGAAAGCCCAGTCCATTTAACCCAATTTGCTCTTGGTGGCTCATAGGTGAAAGGTGATGATCCCTCTGGCTTTGGAAGGAGAAACTTCAATCTCAGTTTAGGGTTCTTGGATTGGATCTCGGCCCATCTGGGACGACCCAATCACACTTTCCCTTCGCAAAAGAAAACTCCAATTCTCGTCCTTCACATTTTTCCGTCTGCATCTCACTCGATCTCTCTTCTGTTTTTTCGTTTTCCGATCATCGGCAATCTGATAGTGAAGGTAATCTTCTTGTATCGCAAATTTTTTTTTTTGGGTATTAATGTTTTGACAGGGCATGTTTTTCTACCCTAGGGTTTAATTATCATAAAACTCATAGAATTTCCTAATTCAATCTCTCTGTTCTGTAGAATTGTTTTTTTATTAAGAACTAAAGATGAAGCTTGACACAAGCGGTCTAGAATCGGCTGCGCCTGTCTGGGGTGCTCCTAATGAGCTTGTTGATGGGTTTTCGGCTGCTCCGGCGTTCGAGGTCCCAAATACCACTGATGTGAGTTAAATCCTCTTGTAATTGGTAGTATTATTTTTTTTTTCTGAGAGAAAGACGGAGCTTTACGGCTTTTTTTATGTTTGGTTGTTGTATTGCAGTTTGATGGTTTTCAGAAAGAAGCTATTAAGATGGTGAAACCTGCTAAGGGTACCACCACGCTTGCCTTCATTTTTAAGGAAGGTGTCATGGTTGCTGCTGATTCTAGAGCTAGCATGGGAGGCTATATCTGTATATCTTTTTTTTTTGAACTTTGGTTATGACTAATTTGCAAGAATTATTGAATTGAATTGCGTGGTGGATATTTTTGGTTCAGAAATTTCATTGTAGGGAAAATTTATTTATGGTCATTGTGATTAAACCTTGAAATTAAAAATTTCTAGATATTTTGCAATCTTCTATTTCTTTTCGTTGTTTTCCAATGTTAATATTGAAATTGTGATTACCATTTTCCCCCCTAATTGTTGGCAGCATCACAGTCAGTGAAGAAAATTATTGAAATCAATCCTTACATGCTTGGCACAATGGCTGGTGGAGCTGCTGACTGCCAGTTTTGGCACAGAAATTTAGGCATCAGGGTAATGAAATAAAGAATTTCCCTCTTGTCAGTGGGCTCCGTCTAGGTTCTTTTTTTGTGTTAGGTGCATATTGTTTGCTATATACTTTTATATTTTTGCATTTGCTTGTTATGTAAGGAATTATAGAGAAAAAGTAGCCTATTGGTGGCTTTATGCAGAATGGGCTATATTGACATTCTATTCTTGCTTTTTTCATTGATACTTGTGTATTGCAGTTTTTCTAAAACATGGATAGCGAGAGTAAGCCTGCATTTCAAAGGCTTAAGATGATTATTTTCATTGGCTCTAAAATCAAACTACAGATGTCCTGCTTTTCCTAAAACACATGTATGAGAACAAATGAAGTTGATAAAAGAGTAATGCCTAGTAATGGCTAATTGGTTTCAACATCCTTTTTAAATGTGACTTGCACATAGAGATTAACCCTTTTAAGTTCTAACTAAGCAAACTTTTATGCATGATATTGATATCTATGACTATGACTGTGACTATATGTGTTTGCACTTGAGCACTCGTAGCCTAAGTGAATGTAGATTTCTAATATTAGGTCTTTTCCCTAGTTATTAAAACAAACTTTGGAGGATGAAGTTTGTTAAAATGAGTTCAGGCATTCTTCCTGATTGATTAGGTGGTTAAATTTAATGCGTTCTATTTGCCTAATTGCCTAGCTATCAAATTAGAAAAGAAAATGGAGCACTCGGGTGTTATTCTGATGTGTGCCTTATCTTTGGTGCCAATATCACAAGACAATGCACAACCTTCCTCACTTTCGTTTATCTTAAAAATCTCTTATGCCCCCTGATTGTGTTTTTCCAATTTCCCTTACATATATGAAGTGCTAATGGATAATCATTTGTTATGATCTAGTGCCGGCTGCATGAATTGGCAAACAAGCGTAGAATTTCTGTTACAGGGGCATCAAAACTGTTGGCAAACATTCTCTATTCTTACCGAGGAATGGGACTGTCAATTGGAACCATGATTGCTGGATGGGATGAAACGGTATTCGAAACTAAATTTTACTCTATTTTCCTGCCTTCCTTTCCTTTTCCCCCCTTGCATTCTATGCTTATGCCTGCATGTTTTGACGTGCTGCATAATTTGGATTCTAGGGTCCTGGACTGTACTATGTGGACAGTGAAGGGGGAAGGTTAAAGGGAATGCGTTTCTCTGTTGGATCTGGTTCACCATATGCTTATGGTGTGCTGGATAATGGGTATGCATTTTTCTCCCTTTTCTTTCATAGAAATTGTTCCTTTGATAAATGCAAATATTATGATGTAAAAGTTATCATGGTCTCCTCCTTGTAAAGTTAGATTTAAGAATAAGTTCATTCAATAGACATTAAGAAACATACACGCCAATGGAGGAGGAACATGTAGAGGAAACCTGTTAAATGCTTTATATTTGTGTTCTGGCTCTATTTACTTCCAATTCTTGTGGTTGAAAACGTTGGTTGTCTTGTCTGTGGTTTGATAATAAGCATACTTTGCTGCCTAATCAAAGCTTTATCTGTAATGTAACTCTGTCTCAATTGATTCTTTTTGATTGGCATAGTCAAAGATAACATCACCGTTCCTGTCACTAATTCTAAAACTGTGTCTTACTTCAACTTGCTTGGCTCCTATCAAGTAAATCAAAAGATTTTCTCTTCTTCCATGCCCATTTTATTAGATTATGCTTGACCTTTCTGTTTTTGTCTTATACTATGCTTAGCTCTATGTATCCATAATTAATAATTTCTATTCTGGATGGCATTGGTGCTAGCTATCGGTATGATATGTCAGTTGAAGAAGCGGCAGAGTTGGCCAGAAGAGCTATTTATCATGCCACATTCCGAGATGGAGCCAGTGGTGGTGTTGCTAGCGGTACTCCCTCTCTCTTTCTCAAGTCTTAAAAAATAAATTCTCTAGATGATTCTGTTTTATGTACGTGTGTATACTACTTTTAATGACTTTTCTTATTAATCAGTTTACCATGTGGGACCAAATGGCTGGAAGAAGCTATCTGGAGATGATGTTGGAGAACTTCACTACAAATACTATCCAGTGATGCCAAGCACGGTAGAACAGGAAATGGTTGAAATAGCTGGGGCATAGGAGTCTGCTCAACCTAGACCTAGTTGAGGTGTTTTCATTCATAGATCAATCAATGGGATAGATTCTGATACTATGAAACAGAGTTTCGTCTATTTACTTTGAAATTAGCCTGAAATTTTACTGATAGACCTGGGTTCAAGTTAATGTTATAAGAATGCTTCCCATCATTTCGATCATTTCATCTGTTTGTCATTGTCGATGTTGAAAATTTTTAATGAATCTCTACTTTTAGCTACCCCAAATGTTGAATTATTTTTTCTCTAGGGTCTGGCATTATGGTAACGAATTACTATTACAGATCTTACTCCACAAGTCATTTGGCTAGGAAATGGGTTAGTGGTATTTCCACTTCCCATCGAAGTTTGGTTCCCTGCAAAATGTGAAAAAAGGAGGAGTGCATGTACTTCGTCATCAGCTCGGTAAGAGCTTACTTAAGCAAGTTGTAATCCATGAGTGGACTGCGGAATCAATCAAGCGAGGAAAGCAAGGTTTCAATTGCAATGGGCTACTTATGGTGATGAAGATGGATTTTAACAGGTGATCCCATATTTTAAGCCCATTTACCCAGTTCAATTGGAGAGTAGATGTTTGTTGTATGTATCGGTTCAACGTTTCTGAACAGTTAAAACTTAAAACCAACAATGACATGGGAAGTGAGACTTGATATGCCCCGAAAGGAAAAAAAAAAAAATGGAATTGAAATAGATTTTTGAGTTACATCGGCCCATGTGCTCATGAGAAAAGTTGAATAAACAAACTACAACCCATTTTATATACAGGGTGGATATAGCCCATGAGTCAAGAAAGATGAGTGGAGGTTCTGTTTTGAAATTAAAATCTGTCTTTGAGCTTTTTAATCAGTAGATCAAGAAGTTAAAGAACATAAAATATATCTATTTCTCATTAAGCAAAGATTTCTTTATATTATTTTTATAACAAAAAAATTAATTTTTTTTACTTGACTAATATTAGATATGACACAATAAAAAATATTAACATAAATTATAATATAATATTTTTTATATTTTATATGTATTTAATATAAAATAGATTCGATGCGAAATTATGAATTATCTCAACTTTTCTCATTTTCAAAGCAGACATGCACAAATAACTTTATGTAATTTCATGTTGTTATTATTTCCTGTTCATATGAATATGAAGGTACGTATTATAAGGAAAGTCTGATGGGAGTATGAGTACGGAGAGCTGATAGAATATCAGGAAATCATTTCTACTGCTACGGAACGAAACAGAAGGAAACATAAATAACCAAACAATGATGGCAGCTAGAAAATAAATCTCTCTCTCTCTCTCTCTCTCTCTCTCATCCTTTTGTTGGCTTCTAAGAATGTTTTCATGATTGAAAGTGAGATATGATCATCACCATTCACCATATTTCCCACTAAACAATGCAAGAAAATTCGTTGGAAACTTTGAATACCTAAACAAACAAACAAAAAAAAAAAAGAAGACAGGAGTTCAATGTCTCTGTCCTTGCTGGAGAAGAAGAATTTACAGCAGTCTATCAATAAAGAGATTAATATAATTACTATGTTCAAATTGAGCGTGATCAAGTGGCGTTTGTTAAAAAGAAATGGGATTTTAATAGACAAATTTTGCATATTATCCACATTTCCTTGGCCTTACTAGTCCATCCTTTGAAAATTAAAGCAGAAGTTAATGTTAACAAGATACAACCAGAGACAAAATCAGAAATTAAAAAAAAAAAAACAAATAATAATTTCAAGTATTAATTTTGATATCATGATATATACTGCTACAATGATGTGGACATGGCTCTTGCCAGCTCCCTAGCTACATCCCTTATCCAACATTGAAGATAATTTCCCTTTAATCTCACATTTTTCAAGATGTTAAGTGAAATTTAATTTTGATTTATGTATAATCATACATTCAAAATTTCTTGAAAAAAATGTAAATATCCACTTTGACAAAATCTTGAATTTTTTATAAGTTTTTATAACAAAAAATTGTTAGATCAAAAAATTCTAATTCAATCACATAAGTAAAAAAAAATTGAGTAATCAAAAAATTATATAAAAATAATAATTTAACGTGATTTAATACAATTAATTTATATTTACAAATTAAAAAAATTTATTAATTATAAAAAATTATAAATATATATCAAATGATATCAATCACTTAATAATCAATACTCGTAAATCTTATAATTCCAATTTTCAGCTCCCATCATGAATCAATGAAAGCCCAGAAAGCTATCAATAAGTTATAGTGTTAACATCTTTCATTAAATACTTGACAATGTCAAGAATTTTGCTTAGATTTTTGGTCCATCTGCTAGCCCGATTACAGGACTCTCACTGCTTTAAAATATACATTTTATGACTGAAATTTTTAATCCTCAAATAGATTCTCCATTATTAATAAACCAATTAAAAACTTGCTTGTCTCAAGAAAATATATATGAAAAAACGAGACCAACTTACAAAACTTGTCTTTTCCATCAGGTTGATATGTTCTGGATTTTGGTCTTAGCCTAAGGCCTAGCTTTGCGGTTTGTGGTAAAAATTCTAGATTTTGAGCTGTAACTTTTCTACTTTCACAGTGAAAAAAAACAGTATAATTAATTTAGGGATGTAAAAATTACTTAAGTACTGTTAATTGCTAATCCAAGCAAACCATAAACAAACTATTATGGCCTAGTTAGGAACTAGGGATTGTTTGTGGTTCATTTCTTACATAATATATAGTTTTTTGGTTGGCGGTAAGGGCTTATGGGAAAAGTGAAGTATGCTCCCTTGAACTCATTCACACACATTTATTTACATTCTATTTAATGAATTGATAAAAATTATCTTATTTGGTCAATTTAATAATTTAAAATATAATATAATGACATGATATTAATACGATATGTAAATAAAATACGAAAATAATATGATTTAAAATTATATTAATAACTATAAATATGTTTAATAAAATAAAAAAAATTATATATTATATTTTCGTGTCGACAAGAATTATGATACGTAATTTTTATATAAAATATAATATAAATATATAAATTTTAATATTTTATATGATATAAATATATAAATCGACAGATCTATTTTATATTTTTAAGATAAAAAATATAGTACGTTTTAAAAATATATTATATAAAAAATGAATTCTATAATTTCAATAAAGATTATGTTTTAAGATAAAAACGTAATGCTTGCTAAAAATATATTATAATAAATTATTTTTTAAAATTTAATTCTTATTGCTTCAAAATTCTATAATTTCAACAAATGCATTGTTTTTAAAATAAAAAAAAAAAATCCTTTTTGCTACTCATAGTAAAATCAAAATAAAACCATAAATACATTTACTTAATATTATAACATATAAAACTTAAAATACCTTTACTTAATATTATTACTTATAAAATTTGTTATAAGGGCTTCACCTCTTGAAATCCCTAGGAAAGGGTTTACCATTCCCTTGATCTGCATGTTTACTGTGTACGAAGACAATTAACGTTAAGATAATAATTAGGTTTCATGCAACTTAATAGAATATATACATAAATATTTTGACAATAATTATTTATGAAAGTATCATTTGAAATATATAAACAATTTTAGTAATTTCTATTTTTTTAACTTGACAAAAATATTATATAAATTATTTGCACTCTAAATAAAATAAAATAAATAATTTAACATGTTAAATAAATAAAATCATTTAAATATAATTATAGAACATGTGTTATTTTTATATTTTCATGTTTGCAATGTGCTTTTCATGTATAATTAAATATAGTATAATAAAAGATTCACTAGATAATATTATATTCTTCTAACCAAATATAGAAAATTTATATTTTTATATTGTCGATAAAACACAAAAATCATTCATTTTCAAATATTTTTTTTTTCAAAATTTTAAAATCTGTAAATCAAACATGTATTAAAAAATAAAGTGTTTTCTTTTTTTAATGGAAATTTATAGTATAATTTCATTTTTCTTTTGCCCAATAAGAAAGAAATCGGATGCCTTTTGGGAGCTATGGTCCATAAATGTCAACAAAACAAGTTTAAACACTTGATTCCAAAAAGAAGGGAAACTTTTTTTTTTAGAGTTTCTCAGATTACAACAACATTGAGACGAATAAAACAATCACCATCACCTTGGACCTTAGATTTTCTGAACCTAGGTTTACTTGGTTTAATAATAGGAATGTGTTGGACTTGATCCAAGAACGGATTGACCTTGTTTTTGCCAACCCCGCTTGGTGCCTTAAGTTTCCTAAAGCAAGGGTGTCTCATTTGCCAAAAAATTATTCTGATCACTGCCCCATTTTACTGTTTTTGTAAAACATAGTTCCTAGGGTAGGTCTTAAACCTTTCGCCTTCAAAAGATATGGTTTGACCACCCCAAGTTTTTACCCCTTATCCACAACAGTTGGATTAAGGGCCAATAATTATTAGCTCAATCTCTGCTAACTTTGAGAAAGGACATGCATGAATGGAACTTGAACTCTTTTGGTAGTATTTTATGGAAGAAGAAAAGAATTTTTGCTCGATTGTCGGGCATTGAGAAAACCTTGGAAAATTCACCGAACCAATCTTTCTTGAACCTTCAAAGAACTTTTTTAGAAGAGTTTAATGGCATCCTCAAAGCTGAAGAGGATATTTGGATTCTTAAGTCTAGGGTGAACTGGCTTATTGAAGGAAAAATAAATGCTCAACTTTTCCATGTCTTTACCAATTTACGGAGGTGTTATAACAGAATTTCTAGCCTAATGAAAGATGGAGTGTGGATTACTCACCCTAGAGATCTTGGCCTAGTGGTCCAAGATCATTTCATGAAGCTTTATACTTATTCATTCTCTCAAAGCTCCCGTTTTGTCACTCTCGAGCCTTGATTTGGGGCTAAGCTTAGCACACAAGATCAACATGATTTATTGAAAACTATCTTAGATTTGAAGATTTAAAAAAATGTTTTGGAGCTTCAAGTTCTTCAAAGCACCTGGCCTGGATGGTCTCCACCCTTTTTTCTGTCATCGTTGCATAAAATTTATGCCACTATCAAACATATTTTTGAGTTGGTGTCCATGCTTGAAGATTTGAATGAGACCTTGATTTCCTTGGTTCCCAACTGTATTAATCCCTCTCGGATAGACTAGTTCAAGCCTATAAGTTTTTGTAACATACCCTATAAAGTTATCTCAAAGATCGTGGTTTAGAGACTAAGCCCTTTCTAAACAAGTTAATTTCACTTATCCAAGCTAGCTTTGTTCATGGTAGAAACGGATGTGATAACTGCATTATCATTTAGGAAGTTGTCCACTCATTTAAAACTAAGAAAGGAGGATTGAGACATATGTAGTCAAATTAGACCTGAAAAAAGCCTATGATAAGCTTGAATGGGGTATCATTAGGAAGATGCTTCTTTTTTCAATCTACCAAAGTCTTGGATTTTCCTAATCATGAGTTGTGTCTCATCCTTATCTATTTCCATTTTGATAAATAGAGGAATGTTAAAAAAATTCAAGTTTTCTAAATGTTTGAGACAAGAGGATCCTTTGTCCCTTTACCTTTTTATTTTCTGCATGACATTTTTAAGTCTAAAAATTCTTGAAGCTGTGGAAGACCGTAAATGGCGGCCTATTAAAAATTCATAAAATGGCCTTGTGCTATCTTATGTCATATTCGTGGATGACATTATTCTTCTAGGTAGAGCAGAAGAAAAAACTGCTAAGTCTATACAAAAGGTACTCATAAGATTTTATAATGAGTTTGGACAGACCATCAATCTGAAAAAATCTAGAGTTTTTTTTTTTTTTTGCCAACACTAGACAAGTATACAAAAGGGATATTACTAACCTTTTGGGCATTAACGAAACCTTTGATCTCGAAAGATACCTGGGTTTTCTATCTATAAAGGGAGAGTTAGTAAGAATGATTATGCTTTCATTGTCAATAAGATTAGAACAAAATTAGTTGGTTGAAAGGTAAATCTGTTTTCTTTTACAGGAAGAATGGTGCTGATCAAGTTTACTATAGAAAGCATCATCAGTTATTATATGCAAAGTAGAGCCCTTCTAGTAAGCATTTTAAATGAGTTGAATAGGGTTAATAGAGATTTTTTATGAAGAAAAAATGGGGATAAAAAGATATTGCACCTGCTTAATTGGAGTGAAGTGACTAAGAAAAAAAATGAAGGTGGACTGGATTTGAGAAAGACTCAAGCACAAAACTAAACACGATTAGCTAAGTTGGTTTGGAGATTTCTTCATCAAAATGATGCTTTGTGGGTTAAAACATTGAAAGGGAAGTTTCTCTAGGAAAATGGCACTGTGAGGAAAGCTTCTAAAGTGTTGACAACATGAAAAGCCATGAGATGGGCAGGTTCAATTGTTGAAAAAGGTATTGGCTAAGTCATTGGTGATGGCTCATCTATGAGCTTTTGGTATGATAATTGGTTGGGGTCTGAGAGTTTGAGAGATGCTATGCATGGCCCTCTTAATTGATAAAAAGATCAAGTTTCAGTGAGTCAATGTCTGAATGCAATAAAAACTAATCAACCTTTTCTATTTTTTTTTCAACTCAATGATGATGTTTTAGATAAGATAAATGCTATTCCTACTCAACTGGTGGGATAGGGACAAGATAGTATATACTGATCTGCATCCTTTAGTGGGGTATTCACTATCCAATTTGCATATGACCTTGCTAGAGGAATTAGTTTGAAAGGGGATAAGGGTCAATGGGAATGGATATAAAAGTTGTAGGCTCTGCCAAAAAATAAGTTTTTCATCTGGTAATACATGCACTGTATCTTGCCTACACGTAATGAGCTTACTAGAAGAATGTTAAATGTCCTGACTACTTGTGTGTTTTGCATGCATGATGTGGAGAATTTGGCACACCTATTTTACAATTGTCAGTGGACTAAAAACATATAGGCTGTCTTACAAAGAGCCTTCTGCCTTTATCCCATCAAATCCTAGACTATAGACTATGGATAAAAGAAAATGCTTTGAACAAGCATCAATCCATGCAGGGTATCCTTTGGTACCTATTGTTTATCCATACTTTATGGGAGATTTGGCTTGAAAAGAATAGGAAGATTTTTAGACAAAATGGTGAGACCATTGACTTGGTGAAATTGGTAACTGCGAAGATTGCTGAATTCTTTACAATGAACCAGAGAAGAGTTTGGGCTTCGTTGCAGTCTTTTGTGTCTATCAGGTGGAACCTTTATAATAAGGGATGGTATAAATTGAACGCAGATGGCTTGGCATTAGGTAACCCTGAGAAAGTAAGAGTTGGAACCATTATTTGATATTGTGAGGGCAAATGGATTGCTAGTTCCTTTAGATATATTGGGGTGTGTTCAAATATTTTGGCTGAGTTGTGGGCTCTTAAAGATGGATTATTTTTGGCGAAAAAGCTTAACATCCACAAGTTGGAAATTGAACTTGAGGCCACCACTGTTATCTCCATGATTAAGAATCACCAGGTGACTAATCTCGTGTTACTCCCTCTAGTTTCTAATTACAAGAAGTTGATGGAAGATCTTGAAGATCAACGTATGCTGTATGTGTTTAGAGAATGGAATAGGTGTGCTAACACTCTTGCTTGGTTTGATAGTAATAATTGTTGTAATAGTTCTAATTGTTACGAGGTCAACTATGTGATGTTTATTAAACCTCCTTCTTTTGTTAAAGATTTGGTCATTGCTGATAAAATTAACAATGTTATGTATCATTCTATTTTATAATTAAATCTTTCTTTTTTCTTGCCACAAAAAAAAAAAAAAAAATCACCATAAAAGCCCACAAATTGGTTTTTTTTTCTCTTCCATTTTCACATGTTCTTCCCTTTAACTTTGCTTTTCTTCTACAACTCCTCGTCTCACCTCCATTCTCTTTTTTTTTTAAGTTGCATGTAAATCTTATAATGCATATACGTGTAAAGTATAAAATATTCATAATTTTTATATTTATATTTTATTTTATATAAAAATTATATAGTATAATTTATATGGATATAAAAAATTTGTTAAATTTTTTATATTATTGTATTAACGGATGCGACCTTTATATATATTTATAATTATTTTTATATCCTATGACTGTATATTATTTTAAAATGTATCGCATCGGAATCAAATTCTCGTCTTTCTCAAGCCTCTTTCCCATGTATACCTCGTCTCCACACAACAACACTCCTGCTTTCTCTTCAGTGTAAGAACAAAAACAACAAAAAGAAAAAAAATAACAAGCATTAAACATACAAATCCTTTCTCATTTCTCAACTCTGCCCTCTTCTCTTTAAAACTCACATTTTTAATTCTCACGAAAAAGGAAAAGAAAGAAAGAAAGAGTCTTTCCTTTATTCACCATGAAGAAGCTGGCTCTCTTTCTACTCTTCCTTCTCTTCCAGAACCTGAAACCCGCCTTTTTTATTTCCCCTGATGGCCTTTCTCTTCTCTCTTTAAAGTCCGCCGTCGACCAACCTTCTGGCCAGTCAGCGTTAGCCGACTGGAACGAGAATGACACGACGCCGTGTGCTTGGTCCGGCATATCCTGTATGAACATAACAGGTTTCCCCGACCCACGTGTTATTGGGATCGCAGTTTCCGGAAAGAATCTCCGGGGCTATATTCCGTCAGAGCTTGGGACATTAAGCTATCTCCGAAGGTTAAATCTTCACAACAACAACTTTTACGGTTCAATACCAGACCAACTGTTCAATGCCACATCACTTCACAGCTTGTTTTTGTACGGTAACAATCTATCCGGCTTGCTGCCTCCGTCGATCTGCAATCTTCCAAGGTTACAAAACCTTGATCTCTCCAACAATTCGCTGGCAGGTCCTTTGCCTGAGAATCTTAAGAATTGCAAGCAGTTACAGAGGCTGATTCTAACTCAAAACAAGTTTTCTGGTGAAATTCCTGATGGAATTTGGCCGGAATTGGATAACTTGGTTCAACTCGATCTTTCCTCCAATGAATTCAACGGATCGATTCCTAGTACCATTGGAAAGTTAAACTCATTGTCGGGTGCTCTCAATTTATCTTACAATCACTTGTCTGGTAAGCTCCCGAAAAGTTTAAGTGACTTGCCAGTTACTGTCAGTTTTGATCTTAGAAACAACAATTTAAGTGGGGAAATACCTGAAACGGGGTCGTTTGCTAATCAAGGACCAACAGCATTTCTAAACAATCCTCTTTTATGTGGGTTTCCTCTTCAAAAATCCTGTAAAAACTCCAATATAAGTCCTTCAAGAAGTCAAAATTCGGGTCCAAATTCTGGTGAAAGCCAGAAAAAAGGGCTTAACCCTGGGTTAATTATATTAATATCTGCGGCTGATGCCGCTGGTGTAGCTTTGGTAGGATTGATTATAGTTTATATTTATTGGAAAAAGAAAGATTCTTCAAATAGTTGTAGTTGCACTGGAAAAGGCGAGTTTGGTCATAACGACACAGGGAAGCTGTGTTCTCTATGTTCCTGTGCCTGCATCAGCGGGTTTCGAAACGAAGACTCCGAATTCGAATACCATGAAAAGGGAGAGGGATCAGGGAAAGGAGAAGGAGAGCTAGTTGCCATCGATAAAGGCTTCAGCTTTGAGCTGGACGAGCTGCTTAGAGCCTCAGCTTATGTGCAGGGAAAGAGCGGGCTTGGGATAGTGTACAAAGTGCTGCTTGGAAATGGGGTGCCGGTAGCTGTACGGAGATTAGGTGAGGGTGGAGAGCAGAGGTGTAAGGAGTTTGCGGCTGAAGTTCAAGCTATTGGGAAGGTTAAGCATCCCAATGTTGTGAAGTTGAGAGCTTACTATTGGGCTCCTGATGAGAAGCTTCTCATCAGTGATTTTATCTCCGGTGGCAATTTGGCCAATGCCATGCGAGGTTAGTTTCTTTCTTCTGCAACTTTACTATTTCCTGCTTGGATCATTCTAGCAAGCATCACACTCACGATTCATTCAGCAGTCATTTTAGTCAAATATGATTACAGAAAGAATATTAAAAAAAAAATGAAGATAACAAGTAGTGAGAAGATAGTAGGAATGTTTTTTTTTATTATTATTTTTTAATTATTATTTCATCCAAGTTACTGCTTTTGATATCTTTTATGTGGATATGATGTTGAATGTTCAATCTGTTCATTCCTCGCATTATTTGCAGCATTTTCTTCTTTCAAACGTGTCGTCATTTTGTTAACAAGCTTTAGAATTTCTTCTCTTTTTGCCTCAAGTAGCAGTTTTAGAAGCATAAATGGCAATAATCTGACGTTGATCATATTTATGATGATGTAGAAATTAAGTGGTCCAAAGTAGGCAACCCACTACGACTGCAATTACGCCCACACGGGCATTCATTAGGCCTGGCCACTTGACAGTGAAGTCCCTTTCCTTGTACTGTGGAAGTGCCGGAACTTTTGTTAGAGTCTTCACTTTTCTGTAGTTATTTTGTCACTTCCATCGAAAAGAAACAAAAGAAATAGCCCAAGAGGATGATGATTTTGATCCTAAAGTTACGGTTTAACACAAATTTAGTGGTAAATCACAGTAGAATTTCTACTGAGAGTGAAAAAATGGCTAATTGTTGTGGGGTAGAGAGGTTTGTAGTGGCTTATCTAGTAGGTTGGTTCTATTGCTTTTAAATGAGTACTACCAGATGGTAGGTCCCTCACAATTGGTCATGCATCATATGATTAAAAAAGAAAAGAAAAAGAGCATTGACAGGTAATGGGGAGGAAATAATTTTGGCTTTGAGCATTTCAAGGTTTCAATCTCAAGGTGATGGGTCACAACTCGAGAACATGACTCACTCGATCTTAGTTTGGATTTGAGTTTTGATCAAAATAAATGCTGAGCTTTCCTTTGCATGCTTTGAGCTTGTGACCATTTAATATATTAATCTAAAGTAAGTTTTTACTTTGAGCATCTAATGGTTTCAGCCTTGTTAGATCGACAACAGTCTTCTAACAATTTAACACTTTACTTAATGTGGCTTTGGTCTGGGTATCTACCTCTATAGTTTTCTTTCTCCTTGACTTTAAAACATAGACAGACTTTTGGCAAAAAAAACTTTGCTTTTGATTCCATTTTCATGTTCATTTTCTCCTCCTTTCTTTATCTCAAACAAAAAGGGTACCTGGCCTTCTTCCAGATGAAGGTCCACTGTTTTGTTCTGTAAAAACCACTCTGGTGGGGACCTTTTGGTCTTCTTGTTACTGCACTCTTGTCTCCCCCCCGTGCTCACATAGTGCATTGAACATTTGACTACTAAAGTGGAAGATTGTGAAGAATGGATTTAGCACCCTATCTGTTTAGCCTGAAAGACTAAAACACAGCCATTGCTGAGAGCTGAAAATACAGAGTTCGTACTAACTCTTTTGATGCAAACTTTGTACATAAACCCCAAATGGTTGCAATTGCCACTTGATTCTAGTACTAGTTCTTTAAAATTGTTGGCAAATTCATTATTTATTAGTCTTTTTTTCTTTGCTATGAACGGTCAGGGGAATAACCCTATAACATGAAAGTGGTAGATCTTGCACAATTATTGACATCAACTCGTTTAGAGTTTCATTTGGGTGATAGTTTTCCATGTTCATCTTTGCGAACACTTGAACTCAGAAATTATGTAGTTTATAGCTAATAAAATTGTTTTTACAGGCAGAAATGGTCAATCGTCAACGAGCCTCTCATGGTCGACAAGGCTGAAAATTGCAAAGGGAGCAGCCCGTGGCTTGGCCTATATTCATGAATGCAGTCCAAGAAAATTTGTACATGGAGATGTCAAACCATCAAACATTCTCCTCGACAAGGAGTTGCAACCTTACATTTCTGATTTGGGCCTCAACAGACTCGTTAACATCACGGGTAATAACCCCGATTCATCAGGTGGCTTTATTGGGGGACTCCCTTACAAATCAAAGCAAACGGATCGAACCAACAATTATCGAGCACCAGAGGCTCGAGTCCCTGACAACCGACCAACCCAAAAATGTGATGTCTATTCATTTGGAGTCGTCTTGCTTGAACTGCTCACTGGGAAGTCTCCTGAGCTATTACCAACCATATCGACTTCCACGGCAGTCCTAGACCTTGTAAGGTGGGTGAGGAAAGGATTTGAAGAAGAAAACCCGTTGCCAGACATGGTAGATCCAGTGTTGCTACAAGAAGTGCATGCCAAGAAGGAAGTGTTGGCAGTTTTTCACGTAGCTCTTGCATGCACTGAAGCAGACCCTGAGATTCGACCAAGGATGAAAACTGTTTCTGAGAATCTTGAAAGAATTGGAACATAAGATGATACGTTTGTTTTTGTCTGTTCGAAAACATGGTGGTGTAGGAAGTTCAAAGTTCTACTGATTTTTGCAAGGGCTCTCCGTTTTTTTGCCATAGTAAATTTTGCAAGGTTGTCAAGATTAACTATTCATTCCCCTAAAAAGTCTTCTCAATTAGGCCCAAATTTTTACTCAAAATTCAACCGTTTCTAAAATGCTTATAAGAGACCATATGTAAGCTATATAAATTCTTGTAATTTAAATTTCAGTCCACATTTCTTTCTTTTCTTTTTTTTTTTTTAATCCATCGTATAATGATAGTGGCAAGTAATAAAATCAAATAACGTGAAAAAACAAGTTTACATGACGTTGGAATTGATTCTTGAAAATTTAAAATTTAAAAAAACTTTATAAACGTAATTTTCTCTTTCTCAAAATAAATATAAGGATAAGAGATTATTGATTAAAAAAAAGAATAAAAGTGATAAAACTTCATAAAGGGCTACTTGAAGGCATCTGGGTCTAACCGTCACACCAGATGCCTCAAGGAGCCCAAAAAGACAGTGGGCCTCACAGATACTTTAGTAGGTTCGGATTTTTTTATGTGTGATGAGATTAGTTTCGATAAAATTAAAATTAATGATAAAGGTGAGATTAATTATTATGATGGTGAGATTAAATATTATAATGATAAAATTAAAATTAATGATAAAATATTTCTGAAAACAAAAGTAACCGTGATAATGAGATGAATTATAATAAAAAAATAATTATTAAAGACAATAGAGTAAAAATTATATTAATAAAATAATAAATTATTTAATATTTGTAAAATTAATAAATTATTAAAAATTTTAATTTATTTTTAAATAAAGTAATAGTTTTGCTAATAAAAATTAAAAACAAAAAATAGTGTTAAAAATTAATAAAATAATTATTATATTAAACTAATAAAAATATTTTATAATTTTTAAATAAAAATAAAAATAAAAAAAGAAAAAATTAAATTATAAAAATATTATTATCTTTGTAATATAATACAAATGTAAAAGCAAAAAAAAAAAAAAAAATTTAAAGTTCCCACCATTCCTCCATTGCTCTCCACTGTTTCTTCCGGTGAAAAAAAACAAAATCTCCAATGCAGTGAGAACATTTAATGACACCACTGCTATGTTTTTCAAACAAATTTTCAATGAGATTAAATGATGCAATCAGCACTCACTGTGGATGAGATTGCATCCAAGCGGGGCCTTCGTTTGGCAACATCTACTATAACGGCATAAAGAATTGCAAGGAATCCAGAACGTGCCCTCTTCATTCTTGCACTTTGTACAGCTTGAGTCGCCATCAACATTAAAGTTGCTGCAAATAATAAGGTTGATCCATCCACCAGAGAAAACAGATATTTTGTACCTTTTTTGTCGGATAGAGCTGACAATTGGACACACCAGATCGTACAGAAGGTGAATTCTCACGGTATGGCTTCCATTGAAACCTAGCAAGGAACGCATGAGTTTTACCGGGATTTTCATCCTCTTCTTGATGCCAGTGTGTGTCAGTGGCTTTCAGAAGATATTGATTCGAAAAATTAGTACATCCTTTTTCTCTCTCTAAAACAATGATTTTCTACCATACCAAAAGGATTTTTTTTGGTCTGTAAGTGGGACAATCAATAAATCGATCCCAAAACATGGTAGAAAAAACCCAACTTTCAAAATTTCCAAATTTGAGAAATAGCTGCTTTCTTCTTCTTATTTTAATTTTTCGAATAAGTTGAAATTTCAATCTGCACTTTAATTTCCATTCATTCTTAACAGTAATGCTATTGGGTATTTGCTCCTGCAATTACTTAAAGATGCAATTTTCAACAATCTTTGAACAGAACTAGGAATTCCCACTGCTTTGGTTTATTCATTTATAAATTGAGTATTTAGCTTAAGAATAGGAATGTTAATGCTTAGAAATGATAACAAAGTGAATATTTATTATTTTGAGATATTTATATTTGATTTTGTTTAATATTTATAATATTTGAATATATTTAAATATTCGTTTAAGTTTATTTATTTATTTATTTAAAAGAGGGCATAATCTTTACAAGAAAAAAAAAAAGAGAAAAAGAGATTCTGACTCGAAAACAGAATATTTATGTTTTCATAAAGCTTTCTTAGTTATTAGACCAAGAGATACAGTACATTTGATTAAGTTTATTATCAGTATCCAAATTTGAATCCGATTAAATAAACATTAATTATTTAAATATTTGAATTTATTAAAATATCTGTTTATTTAAATTTTTTGTCAAAATATAAAATAAATAAAAATTTAATTTAAAATTCAAGTTTAATCTTAATTAATAATAAATAAAGGTTATTTTTCAAGTTCGAAACCTTCTACAAATTTAAAATTTTATATATTTTACATATGTAAAAGAATAATAGATTTAGATATCTATTACTATTTATTAAAATTTAAATGAATTCGGATATTGAATATCCAATTATACTATTTATATTCATTTTGAATCTATTACGGATAATAAATTTTTTATTTAAATATATTAATTATCTGTTTTTAACTATCCGAATTTATCATGAACGGATTGGATAATAACAAATATCTGTTTATTTATTATTCATTATCATCTACAATGCTCCATCTTTGTTGCATAGCATGCTTGGGTGCTGCATTAGCCAGAAGCAACTGAATCATTTACCATGTGTTAGTTATATATACCAACTGATATGTCATTGACTCCGAGGTTAGAGCCTTATTTGGTGTGAATGAACAAGGATTGTTATAATAATTGATATCAGATTTTGTTTGCTGGAAATCCACGATGAAATATGTTGCATATTTGAGCCAGCGGGGCTCTCCTGTTCTATTTGTGTAATGGGGTTGCATTCTGCCATTTTATTTCATGAACACATAAATATTAATGTCAATATTTATGTGGGCCAAATATTTCTTTTGTACCTCATAATTCTTGCCAAAAACGGAAGATATATTTTTCATTTCCGGACTAGAAGTAGTAAAGTTGCTTCAGTAGTCTTTCTGTAGTAGAACTACTGAACCACGCCCACCAGAGCTATAGGGAGACCGAAGGGACTTGCGGAAAAAAACCCAAAGATAGGTAATCTATATGCTGAAAGATCGGAGAATCCATGCACAAAAATGATGTAGAACCACTTTGGAATGTTAGGCAAGTGAAAAAAAAAAATCAAAATTAGCTTGCTGTTACCCTTTTATCAGCAATGCATTACAGTTCACGACCTGTGGGACTAACATGTATGTTTCTTGAATCCGGTGAACCTTTAAGTCCTTGGGTGGCTGTAGGATGCTTCACAGTGGGTGTGTCAATCATATTTTTCTGAGCGACAAGCACCATCCATGTTCAGAAGAGGACACCATTTTTTCCTTGTGGGTAAGTGCGTCTCGTGTCGAAATTTGACATGTTTAAAAGGTTTTTATGATGAAGAGAGTTCTGATAACACTGTTGCAAGAACTGTATACGAACTTATTTGAAATGTATCCGAGCATTCTTGGGCAGATTATTTTTCAGTTTCTCTGGTCTTACCTAAAGCTTATTGCAGTTAAAGGAACACAAGCAACGACATAGACAGTGAGGTTATCCTTGAATCTCCTGAAAATCACTACCTTTTTACCGCTCCAATGACGTAGGGATACGATAATCTGATAGGTTTCTTTCCAGTACTGCTTTCTTTGGTGACTGTTATTGCTGCTGTGTCTTCATTGTTTTCTTCATCTTCACTCCAGTCAAGAGGATAGTTCTGCAAAAACTCTAAAATGGGTATGTTACCTCTAAAATTCTCTTATTGGGTCCTTTTTTTTTTTTTCAAAATTTCTTGTTTAATACTTGGAATTGGGATCTGTACGTAGGTAGAGTGTGATGATGAGTCATGAATATATTTTTGAAGCGTTTCATTTTCAAGTATCAACAATTTAGATGATTTCTCTCACAGTGTTTTAATATTTCATGGCTCGTTAGATACACATTGAAATCAAATATCCTCCTGGTTGAGATTGATTTAACCCATGACTGAAGGATGTGGGAAGTAGACTGAAGATCACAAAGTCTGCTACCTGTTTTGTTTTGTTCTTCTATCATATTCATATGTATATATTTTGTTTGGTTTGTGTCAATAGGCCTGACGAATAATAAAATTTTGGTCGGATTATGCAATTAATCTCTTTGCTTGTTCGAAGTTCATTTAATCGCTATAATATAATTCATATGGGTCATTTTATTTTAACAATTCGTAATATAGTAGTTCAAGTTTATCAAATCCTATCAACACTTTGAAAAATGTTGGTGTACATATCAAATTTTTAAACCTAACAAATGAATTTATAAGATTATCAAATATCTATTGATTATAAATAAAATAAAAAATAAATGTGTCCGAATTATATGAATTTATTTGTGAAGTTAAAAATATTTTTATCGTCACATTTGTCAATGTAAAAAAGAATAATTTTTAAAGCTTGATTTGAATATGTTGTGAAAATCCTTTTACCATATCAGAATTTATGTTTTATAATTGGATCTTAAATAACCCAAAGTAAATGGAATTATTCACTAAAATGAAATACAAATCAGTATACATAGATAATTTTAACAGAAGTTAATATTTAAATTTAATAATTTAAAATATGATATGAAAAAAGATATGAATTAAAATTTTAACAAAATTATATATATAGAAATTTGATAAAATAAAAAAAAATTTTATATTTTTATATCAATATAAATTATAACATATAATTTTTATATAAAATATAATATAAAAACATAAATTATCAAGTTTTATACGATTCGTGTACTCGAATTGCCAAATCTACCCATATCGATACTCTTCCAAATCCAACTAATGCAAGGTACATTTTTTTTTTCCAGAAAGAATGGGTTTGAAAAGAAGGATAACGAGCAACCTCAGTTTGCAATGTAACACTTCACCAGAAAATCCCAACGACAAGACAAACGATTATTTTGTTGCTTCACTTTAACTTTGGTAGACAATGGTTTTGTCATTACATTCAAAAGTTTGGCTACATCCATTGTGAGAATTCAAAAAGTTTTGGTAAGGAAAGTTATCTATAAAATAAATATAAGAAATGTGTTATAAGTAGGTTTATCTTAGATCAATTTAATATAATATTAAAATTAATATTTAAAAATTACGAGTTTCAAGTTATTTATGCGCGTAATATTATATTAAAAACTCAATGTGAATTTGGTTTTTAAATTCTAATATCTTAAATGATTTTAATACTTTTATCTCAAATTTAATAAATTTAATCTGCATTTTTATTAAAATTTGATTTAAGAATAATTGAAGATAGTATTAAAATTTTATCTATAACTTGAATGATATGACACTGTTGTGATGGCCTCAAAAACTAAGGTAAATAAGCTTTTAAACATATCTTAAAAAATATGTTTTATTATTATAATTAAATAATAATTAATATTTTTAAATTCTAAAAAAGCTTTTATACTAATATGTAATGCATGATAAAAAAAATTTAAATTGGTATGTCATGTCATAAAAAAAGTATTACTTGATTCAATTGAATTGTAAACTTTAATATTATTATCAATTATTTTTAAATTAGCCTTTAATAAAAGTGCAAGATTAAATTCATTATCGTTAGAGAAGAAGAACTGGAGCTGCTGACTTAAAGATATTAAAAGAATCAAATTCAAATTTCAGTGAAAAAAAAAAAAAACTTTATAATGGCAATTGATCCAATGTTAATAGCCACCAATAATTTGGAGAGCGTTGTGGGTGTAGAAAGCGAGCGATCATCGTTGGTTTCATCATTGATATTGAATTATTGATGTAAGAGGAAAATCACCAAAAAGATGTTAAGAGATTAATTGTCCATTTTCCAACTAAATTAACTAAATTAATAAAAATTTATTCATGCAATAATAAATAAAAAATTTCAATTTCAATATTTATAATTTTTTTATTATGAGATTACTTAAAATGAATAAAAATTTATTCATATAATTATCATTAATAAATGTCATTCAATAAATTTAAAATTTAAATTCAATATCTATAATCACTTTTATTTTATTATCTTATAGTGATTTTTTTATAAAAAAAACTAGTTTGTGACCCGTACGATGTATGAATTAATTAATTTATTTATTTTGAAATTATAATTATAAAATGATATTAAATTTTAAATAAATATATGAACAAAATATAAAAGTATTATTCAAAAATATTAAATTTCTTATTTTTTGAATTTTTAAGTGAAAATGGATTATCGGTTTCTTTATAAACTATTTTAAAATTTTGTGTAATTAGCAAATTTAAACTTAAAAATAATGCATTTAACTTTACAAATGATAGAAAGTCTTGAAAAATAAACACTTTACTAGGCTTAAGGATATAAAATTGATAATGCTTAAAAATATAATGAAATGCAAATTAATTAAATTATTATTCATAATTAAAAATATATAATTTCATTTTCATTTTAATTATTTTATTGTTTATATTTAAATATCCGTATTTGGTGAAAAAACTTCTTATATTACAAAATTAAAGAAAATAATATTTTTTATTATTTGAACAATTTGATTCAAAAAATAAAAAGTAGTAGATACTGTAGATAATTGTCTTCAAAAATCTTATAGAAAAAAAAAAAACATTTCATCTCCATCTCAATGTTAAGTTATTAATATAAGATGATAAAGTTTAGTAGTAAAGTATATATACTTGTCATCTTATAAAGATTAATATTTTCAATAAATAAAAGCAAGTGGAATTATATCATTTTCATAGTTTACTTTTTTACTTATATCACAATAGAGTACCCCAACTCAATCTTTCCACTCCTACATTTCATGGATACAACATTTAGCAATACAAAACAAACAAAGAAGCCTCATGTAGGATTATTTTATTGTTACATTGTAAAGATCAAAAGCACCTTAAGTTTTAACATTAAACCGAACATATTTCAATTCCTACTTCCTACAATAATCTAGTTAAACAAAATGTAATATTTAAATATTATCATTATAATTTTTATTGATTTTTACCTAATAAAACTGTTGTTCTGTTTGATGGGATATTCAATTTTGAAATTTAAATTCCCTTAACTTAATATATGACCCATTATTCCTGAAAGCAAATTTTAGAATAAGGTCATTGTAGCACAAAAATCTCATAAATTAATGGTAAAATTATAATTACTAATCAAGTAGAACGAAATTGATAAGAAAACTTTTATCACACTGATATTTTTTAAAGAGAATATCAATTGCCGATGAAAACCTTTAAAGCTCTGAATTGGGTGTTTTGTAATTAACATCCCTTTCAACTATTAACTAGCTACTAAAAATTAAAATAATAGTTTCTCAAAATAAAAAAAGAATATAAGCAACTAATAATGAATAAAAAAATGAAGATAATATTTTATTTGATACAAGTACGACTAATACCACAGGTTTATGCAATTGATGGATAAATGAGTAATAGAAGAAATTCAACACAAGAATATTTCATCGAGGTGGAAGATGGCATCAGTTAAATAATGAAATATATGATATTTGGTCTTTTAAAATTTATTAAAAATTAATAAAAATAATTTTATATTTAAAATTTTTAAATTTAAAATAGATATATTTAGATTGTTAAAGATATATTTAAATTATATATATTTAAAAAGAGATAATATATTTAGATTGTTAGGGATAAATTTAAATTATATATTTTTTAAAAATTTAAAAAGAGATATAGATGGTTTAATAGTTCATTTAAAAAAATAACAAAATTATTAATTTTATTCTAAATGTATTTGAAAAAAGTGAGCTTGGAATAAATTTAATTTGATTTAAATTAAAATAAAACTCTTGAAATATTAAAATAAATCTAATTTTAAACTTTCAAATATTTTTTAAAATAAAATAATTATTGAATGGGATTATTTGGTTAAAATTTTAAATTAAATTATTATTTTACATGTAAAAAATATGGATTGTTTACGTAAGTATGGATGTGATATATCTTATTAGGTATCTATGTATTATGTAATATATATATATATATATATATATATATATATATTAGATAAGTATAAAATGTAAAAAAAAAAATTGAGTAAAAATTTATGATAAAAGGTAAAATTACTGAAAATAGAGAGAGCAGATGAATCCCTCTAAACCCTTCCAATAAACAATACAAACCTTGTCATTGTCGTCATCAGCAACGGAACTCGTCGCAAAAAAAACAAAACATTGTGGGATACTTTGTTCTGGAATTTGGCTGCTGAAGTCAGTTTTTTTGTCAAACAAAAGACTTAACATTTGCCGGGACTAATGCAACCACCTGAAAGAGACAAGTCAGAAAACCATAGTTTTCATCACTGCCCTAAACTTGCAAACAATTAATTTCTGGTGGACCTCAGCCTTCATCATTCTAGCAAAGATGAAATCAACTAACCAGTGGTCCAGCCTAGTAGTAAACACTGCTTGGGTTGATTTGGTCTTTCTTCCCCTTTGTTAATGGCACTTTCACACTTTGGGTTGTCCCCTATTTTTAGTGGGTTTGGCATTTTTCTTTCTTTGTAGCTACTTTTGTTGGAATAAAGCATTGTGCAATACTTCAATTTTGTTCTTAAAAGATATCCAATCTAATGATAAAGATAATAAAGAATGCAAAGAACCAGAATGCTGGAATCTTAATTTCAATCATTAAAAATAAATAAATAAAGAACTGGAAATTTGATTTTAGTTTTAGGCTTTCTATATTTGTATATGGTATATATACTGAATGTAGCATACAAAGTTCAAAAAGAGGTCAATGTTCAGAAAATCTTCAGTGGGCGAACCAATGGTTAAAGTTAACGAATCCCGAAGAGGAGAAGAGGAGCCACTCAGAAAGCAGACTTTTATTTCTTTTCCCGCTGCTGCAGCCTTAAAGAAAAATACTAGTCCTGTAAGAAAGAAATCAATCAAACAAAGATCATTGAATATGGACCCACGCCTGCAAGTGCCATTACTTTACTTTCAAGACCAATCAACTCCTCAGTCTCCTCAAAACATCTCGGTTGGTGAATTCAACTATTCAAGCATAAAGCTAAAACCCCATGGTCCTGTTCCTTTCTCAGTCAATTTTCTTTTCTCTTTTCTTTTCTTGCATTGAAGAAAACAGGCTAGTTAAAGTGCTATGTCTCATCATTGAGTAGAAGAGACTGTTGTTGTCAAAAAGACATGGGCAATTGTGTTACAGTTTACAAGAACAAAGATCCTGCAGCCATGAATCTCAGTGCCCAAATTCAACTGCCCACTGAGAACTTTGTCAGAAGGGAGCAGTCAATTGCTGAACTCGGTTCCATGTCTCAGCTGTCATCAATGGATACTAGTTTCCGAGACTTGAGTATGTTTCTAAATTGGCTTTCTTGATCTATTTATCATCATTCTTTGTTCTTGTTTCAGCCTTACATTAGTGCTTATGTTTGAGCTTTGGATAGTTTGATCTAAGATGTCAGATTGGTTGACTTCTGATAATCAAATTTTGGATTGGGATGGCACTATAATTGTGAAGTTTCCTTTGATCATTTCAATGATCAAGGTCTAATTTGGAACCCAGTAAAAATACTTGATTTAGTGGCTAGCTGTCCCCTTGTCATGATATTATATGGTTCAATTGTCTATTTTCTCTCAGGAAATTATTAATTCTGTTACTTTGTTCCAGGCAAAAGCAGACTCATAAGCTAGCATATAATTTACAAATTTAATGTGACCATTTTTGTGGCAGTCTCAGACTAAAACATAGCTGCAGAAAATTTCTTCTGCAGGTTGTTCTTTTCTTTGCCCACTTAAATTCTGAACTTACTCCCAACAGCTTGAGTGATGGAGAAACTTTCACAAATAGGCTCAAAACCCTTTGGATTTGTCACATTAGCAAATTTAGAATTTTTGCTGTTTATTCCTTTTTACACAGAAGGCAAACAGTGTTTATTGATGGTAACTTCCCATTTTTCTGTCTTTTCAGAGTTGAAAGTCTATCCTAACTGCTAACCAATAAATAAAGGACTGATTTGAAGTTGAGAATCTGAACCAAATTAACCAGTCCTCATCTGCTTGTCACTTGTCCCTATGCTCTTCATAATTCCCAAGTGTCTCCAGCTCAAAATTTTCTTGTTCACAAAGTTATCCAAAAATAGTCTTTTCCCCCCTTGCATAGGAACCCCTGTTCTTCCCAGATTATCTAAAGTAACTGGAAGCCATCTCTATTACTAACTCCGATAATATCAGAAACTATAGCATGTTCTACAATATTGCAGTCATAAATGGTCCTTTTATTTCATATAATTTACATTTTTTTTATGATCACTGAGATATCAAATATCCTCCAGGCAGATGTCTCCTGGAATGGACAGTTTGATTTTTCCCATTTTAGATTGGTGTAGAAGCTATGAGGGTGAAATTAAGTTTTGTTATAATCATAGCCTAATCGGTTATGACTTTTGTTAATAGCAGGGTAACAACAAAGATGTTGATAGAAACAACTAGTGTATTCAGGCTGCCTGAGCGCTCTAAGATGGTTCGGTGGTGACAGTTTTCCCATGGTGCATCAGAATTTTAACCCAGTTCTGTATGATTACTGACAGTTGCGCTCATATTTAGGAAAATAGAATGATCAGGAAACTTGGTTAGCATATAGTTGGAAGCTTCTTTTCAACTAGGGACATATGCACCTCAGACAGAATCTCTTTGCAACTATTATGTGCTTTTTGATTAACCTATAAAGGTCTGATTATTGATCGTGGCACGCGATGGCAAATTCTTGCAGGATTCAAGATGGTGGATTGTTTGCTACAAAACAGATTAGAATTAGTGCTTTTGCAAATAATGTTTACGTAACTTTGAATGGGTTGTGACGTTTTGCAGATTCTTTACCCTTTCTTCTTAACTGGAAACTCACTCATATTTAGTATCTTTAATTGAAGTGTACCTATAATTTCTATCCAGGTAAAACCGAGGAGAATTTTTTCGATTCCCAGCCTTGTCTAGAATCTGATTGTGAAGATTTCTTCAGTGTCAATGGTGGTGAGATTTCCCTACTTTTGTTGAGAGAATTATGTACATTTCCCTATTGTAATCGCATGAAAAGAAGTATATGTACTGGGAATTATATTGCGATTTTTTATACTTAGATGCTGCCAAGATTTGAACAAATTAAGAGTTCAGCACTCTACCAATATAGCACACGGCTCTTGATGGGAATTGTATTGCTATGTTTCTTAACTTTTGTCAGTGCTTTTAACAAGCTTGTTTTCATCCAGATTCTACCTCTTGTGGTAACAGCCCAAACCACCAGAAAAGCTTCACGGAAAGTTCTCTGCGTGATAAAAATCATTCAATGGACCGTGCACATGATGCAGTAGCTGAACATTCTCCAAATGATACAAAGAAGCAACTAATTGAGTTATTTCGTGAGAGCTTCGACGATGATGATGATGATGCTGTAAATAATGATCCAAGTTTAAAACAACAGTTGGAAGACAAACCTACAACTTTCAACCTCCCTCCAAAGTCTACAAGTAGAAGTCCATATGAATCTATCCCGAACTCTGTTCGCAGTAGTGAAGCATCTCCTTACAGCGGGCACGTCCCTAGGAAAGAAAAATCAGCCCAGTCTCCGCAGTGCTGCCTTCCAAGTCTGGTACGCAACATGAGCTTTGGTGAGAGAAAGAAAAGGCTAAGCCCTGCCAAAACTGATGGACGGTAAGCCAGATATTTATTCTGTATAAATCTCTTGAGAAGTTATACTTAAACAAGCTACAATCTCAAAACCTTTTTGCAATATATTGTTCAAATGCTTGCATCTCATCTTTTCTTATAGTGATACTACATCTGTAAAATGAGAAATTGGTAAATTTCTATGTTTCAGTTGCTTGGGGTTATGGCAGTTTTGAGTCATTTGTCTTTTCTAATGATTAGTCTGCAGAAAGGTCGAAATCATACAGGCAGATGAAATTTTTTCCCCTTTATTTCCTCCGGTTTTACAGACCTTGTCTGAAATAATGAATTGAGCCCTTATAGGCATTTTGGCAACATGGGTAACACCTTTCTATCATTAATGAAAGAAAGAAAGCTATAGCATTGAAATCCCTATATACGGGATGAGCTGGAAAAGGTAGTAGTATTAATTAAATCATCGGACAAAATTAAGAACAGAGTAAAAGGTTGCCATCATACATTAGATTGTTAGGCAATCAGCCAGCCTTGCAATGGCTTCAAGTCAATGACAGAAGAAGAATCTCAAAATCATCAGTCACCACATAAAATACATAAAAATGTAAGAGAAGAGATTGATTAGTCGTAAATAAATCAGTTCTTGCTGCTCCTTCTTTGCCTTTGACTAGAATGAGTCCTCTTTCTGGGAAGGACATCTAATCTATGTTTATTTTTGAAGTTGATTCTTCAATTTCAGATAGGATTGTTTCAAAGATTACTTATTCATTTCACAATTTGAACAGATTTATGTCGCACTGCTAGAATTGGATCATATGGATTCAATGGTGTTGAAGTCGAAGTATTATTTCACAACAAAATATTGCTTTTTATTCTTTTTATTTATTTCAGTAATGGAGTTGGTTCTTTTGCACAAAAGCCAAATGTTTTGCATTAACCAGGGTCAGGAATTGATCGATTGCTGGAACAAACATACCTACATACAAACACTATGGAAACAAGATGATTCAGTCTTCTATATGACAATTACATTCTTTGAAGTTCGCCTTGCTCATAAGTATCTTAATCACTCGGCCGTGGAGATACAACAAACAGTGTAGTTAAGGTACAACTAGAGAAGTGAAACGTCACAAAAATAACAATAAAGACGCAAAGAATACACGTCAATCTTTATTCATCCATTACCATGAGCATATCATTGTCCATCTTTCTTTATTCATCTGAATTTCTTATCTTCCAACATCCATCTTCTCCAGTGGAGACATGTCCTCACTACAAATTCAACAATGTGGAAAACACAGATCGATCGTGAGATAGGAGAGAATGCGGATTGAAGCAAATGCTACCTTTCAGTCGACCTTAATTTCTCGCCATCCCATTTTTCCTTCGCAAACGAGCCACGTTGACAGCAATCAGAACCGAGAGCTCATCCTTATTCTTATCCAAGAACCGATAATAGGCATGTCTGATAGATTTCTTTATCACCAAAGTGCCAAAAGTGGCCCAAAATCCCACAAGGAACCCCACTACCGCACTTATGTAGAACTGTAGTTTTATGTGTCTGTCACCATCGTTGTCTTCGGAGGGTCCAATAACACTGGATATGGTGCAGCTGATTGAGAACGGCGGCCCACAGAGTCCTGGATTACCCTCATAAGTAGATGGATTACCAATGGTTTGCAGTTGGTTGGATGATGGAATTGGTCCAGACAGGTTGTTGTATGACAAGTTCAAAAAGTTAACTTATATATGCTTGAAGGAATTGGACCTGAGAGATGGTTATGTGAAAGGTCAAGGGCTTCTAACAGTTGTAAGCCTTCAAGATTTACTGGTATTCTTCCCGTTAGTTGGTTTCAAGAGAGATTCAAGAACCCAAAGGCCGAAAGATTTGTCATCTCCTCTGGTATCTCTCCCACTATATTGTTGCTGGACAGGTCTATGCTGTTTATAAGTGGAATTATTATGGTAAATACACTTTCTCTTCCCTTGATGACCAACTCCATGTGATTGTTGAATGTCATGTCTTGTGTTGAGGGTCCTAACCTGAAGAGGCTGTGCAAAGTTTTCAGACGTGGCAAGCTGCCCAAACAACTAGGAATGGACCCTGACAGATCATTTTGTGCTAGATCCAAGATGTGGAGGTTGGAGAGGTGACATAGTTTTTCAGGAATGCTTCCTGTTAGCATGTTGGCTCGTAGGCTTAAAAGGGCCATTGGAGATTCGTTTGCCACAATTTACTCAGGGATAGACCTTGTGAATTTATTTTCTCCAAGATCAAGTGCAAACAAAACTTTGCAATCCTACAAGAACCTAGAGAGCTCCCCAGTAAGATTATTGCTGCTCAATTTCAACCAGCTTAGTGAAGGAACAGAGCACATGGAGCTCGGAATGTCACCTGATAGATTATTCTTAGAAAGATCTAAAAACATCAAATATTGCAAACCCTGCCATTGCCTTGGAATTGTTCCAGTTAACTGATTGCTCGATAGATCAAGAAAATTCAAATTCATCATATTGTTTATGGATGGCGGAATGCTACCATTTAAAAAGTTCCCAGAAAGATTTAAGTTCTGCAATAATGACATTTCATGGCCTATGTTTGAGGGAATAGGTCAAGAAAATAAATTGTTCTTCAATGAGAGGTTTGTCACATTTGACCAAAGTGGGATTGAACCCTCCAGGTAGTTGGATTCTAAATTAATCCATACCCCTATATTCAAAGGTAAAAGCCATTGACTTAGGAAGCATCCCTCTCAATTGGTTATAAGAAAGATCCGGCAACCAAATCGTTGGTACTAATCTCCAAAACCAATCAGGAATGGTGTCTGAAATGCCAACATTGGAGAGTGTAATTTGAGATAATTTGATTTGAGTTCTGAGGCACGGAGGAAACGCAGGGCCTAATTGGCAATCATTGATTGCAATTTGGTCCAGTTGCAATGGAGGAATCCAGTCATCTCTCAATCTAAACACCAAGGATTTGTTGGTAGATGATAAAGAAAGATCGCTTAAATATGTTAGATTCTGAAAATGAAGCTCGGTTATGACTCCTTCAATAGAGTTCCCATATAGACCCAGCTGAAACAGCTGCGGGAGTTGACCAATACCTTCGGTGATTGTTCCACTCAGCGTGTTAAAACTTGATCGAGCTTTGCCATTTGTGACAAATTCCCCACTGATCCTGGAAGTGGACCCGAAAATAAATTGTTGGAAAGTTCAACGTATTCCAAATAACCCAGGGACCTCAGATAATTTCCCTGTAAATTTGTTGGAGTAGAGCACAAGAGACATCAAATTCTCAAGGGACCACAAAAAATCAGGCAGATTCCCTGCGAGATTATTTGTGCTGAAATCTAATGTCTCCAAGTTACCATTACTGCATCTTGACAAAGTGCCAATCAGTTCTCCAGATTCACCTTCAACAGAATTTGATGATAAATCTAAAACTTGAAAATTGCAAAGGTTTCCAACTGAAACCTTCGGAATGGGACCCGTAAGATTAGAACTAAGAAGTCTAACTTCAACGAGGGTGGCGAAATTAAACAGCAAGTGTGGCAGTGGAGAGCTGAACTAGTTAAAGAGAGGTCAAGATTTTGAAGCGATGTAAAATTGACAAATGGGAGAGTCTGAGGAAGGTCATATAGTTGACAGCTAGAGAAATACAACTCCAATGATGAAGGAAGCATATTTATGGCTTTTAGCCAAGTAGTTGATGCCTTACTGAGGTTTACATATCTTAAGTTTAGGTAGTGCAGAGAAGAGAGGATGGAGAGCCATTCTAATTCTGTCACCCAAAGATCTTCTGAATCTGAAATCCCCGTTTCGAGATCGAGATAAACCAAATTTGACAGATTCCCAAGGTGGGGAGGAAACATACCAAAAAAATTTGCCCAATTCATCTCAAGATGCATCAAATTCTTGAGTGAACCAATGAAATTTGGGATTGGAATTCCTAGGAAATTGTTGTAACTCACATCCAAGTAATTCAAATGTGTCAAGTTTAGCAAAGAAGGATTTAACGTACCATATAATTGACAGAACTGATAAAGCGATGGCGAATCTCCCCCTTGCAAAGGACAGTCATACTTTTTGCTGAGGTCTAGCATGATAACATTGCCTGTCTGATTGCTACAGCCTACGCCTGACCAGTTGCAGCAATCTTTACCGATCCAAGAATAGAGTCGACCAAAGGGATCAATAAGACCGTCTTTGAGTTTAAGAGGGGCTCTCCTCTCCATCTCGATGCAACCTACATTGGGATTGAATCCAGCAGCCTCAAGGTGATAAAATCTAGAAACAAGAGCAAGGAAGAACAACAAAAGAAGTTGGAAGGACGTGTTTCTGCTAGCCATTTCTCGCCAGGCAGCGAAAACATGAGCCATTGTAAAGGATTACATTGCCGCTGATTGAGCTATCCCTGGCAACATTTTTTTTTTCCTTTTTTTTTTGTTGTTAACTTAAGAGATTAACTCCACGTTACAAAGCTACTTTGTTTTATTTCTCAGTATGCAAGAGCTAGAACCAGCTGTGAATTATCAAAGTCAATTTCGAAAATTCAATTACCAAATTTCTTTGATGCATAGCCCTTAGTACTAATCAAAAGATTATTCCCATCAAAGTTAGCGATATGTTAGGCAAAGCTGTCACCGGTCAATGGCAAAAGAATCTTAAAATTTCAGAATCATCATTCTATCTGAAAAATGTACTAATTAATCAAAACAACGTCAACTGTTGAAATTTCTTTTAATAAATCTCAAGGAGGATTCTGACTTTGTAATTAAATATAGAGGGAATTATTTTCACTAGAATGAGCCCTCTTTTTAGAAAGGACAAAACTAGATAGTATATGTTTATATTTTAATTTCTATCAGTTTCATGGAAGCTGATTTTTGAAGTAAATCGTGCACAGAGGAGGGGAATATAAGTGAAAGGGTAACAAGTACTAAGTATAATCTGCTTTATTTGGCAGCCACTAGTAACCCCATCACTTTCCTACTTGCTAGTAAAAAGCGTCTCCCTACGATTAAAAGTGTTCATGAATCATATTGTTAGTCAAGTGTGAGTGTGACTCAATCCGGATTAAGTTTTGAATAGAAATTTTTAAATAGGTTCAATTCAAAATATTATTTATTAATAAGAAATTATTTTTCTTTAAATTTAATTGTATATATTTAAATTTAAATAAATAAATTGAGTTAAATCTTAAAAAAAATATAAAAATGTCAATTGAGTCTAATTTGATTCGATTTATAAATATCTCTACATATGATCAACACATTAAGTTTATCTATTATTTTAATAATGAATAAAAGTTAGAAGTAAATATATCCATTTGTATTTGAGCATTTGATTCCATTTTGACCTTTTAACTTTATAAGAAAAAGAAGTAGAAGTAATCATTCCTCCGAAACGAGTAGCTAGTCACCAAAGTGTAAAGAGATTTTTGTCTCAAAATTGGATTAAGTTATTATATTTAGGATGTGTTTAGTACATAAAATTATGATATGATAAAATTAGATTAAATAATGTTATTCAATCTTGTGTATGATTTGTGCAAAAATTAAAATAAGATAATTTATTTATTGATCAAAATTATCTTTTTTTAAAGTTTATATAATTTACATTATTGATATAATTTTTTAAAAGTATAGTAAAACATATAAGTTTAATCCTATAAATTAAAAATAATCATTTTCACTTTAAGTGAATTGAATCATCATATATTAAAAGGATGATTAATAACTCATTGTAATCCTATCTCTTTTTTTAGATATAATATACAATAATTATTATCTTATTCTATCTATTATCTTATATATCAAATATGACCTTAATTGCTTTAAAAAAAAATTCAGGCAAATACTTACTTAACAAGTGTTTTGTAATATGATACTAGAACCATAAAAATTTGTACCACTCAACCTTCTCTTGTTTACGACTAATCTCATTCCAAAGAATTTAAGCAAAATAACAATTCTTGGGAAAGACCATGACTTAACTCCATTTTATTGCTTGATGAATTTCAAACCCTCTATATGTCACATTTAGAAATTACATTAAAAATTGTTTAAACTCAAATATCATATTAAATATTTTTAAAATCATTCATGATTCTTCTTTAAATGAGCCCATTATACGTGTAGCTTACATCTACCCATTAACAGTTGGGCTTGTAATTTAAATCATTGTTAAATCGGGCTGAACACCCTAGCTATAAGCCCAACTCACCCATCAGTCCAGGTCCAAGCGTATTGAAACAAAAACCTCTTCTCAGTCCACGGTCCTTCGCCGTTCAACAGCCTTGTTATCTCCTGATGGACGATGAAACTCAGGATGATTTGTTGAGCAGCCTTGATCAAGAACGACAAAAAATTGGTGGCTAAAAGTAAACAACACATTAAGTGCCCGTAAAAGTCAATGTACAATTATTAGATCCCAGAAGCAAAACTGAAGAAACGACTAACCCCACCTCTGGAGTCCAGCTCCTTGATCCTCTTCCGGGGGAGAAGAAAATACTACTTATATAGGATAATTATCTAATGATGATAGAATTGATTATAACACACTTGCAACACTAGACATTGGTGAGAACAGTCAAAACAGCAACTTCAAATTCCTATTCAATCCACCTACAAAACTGGAAAGAATCATCAGAAAGGTATGGGCCCTCTAGTTCACATCTTCTGTCATATCTGTGTCTTCAGCCATTATTATCTCCATATCCCTAATATCCCGCTTCAATACGTTGCCAAGCCTTGCAATGGCCTCTGTCTGCTGTTGTAATACCTGTTCCCAAAAAAGACCGTTCAATTTCAAGTCAGCAGATTAAGTAATGATATATAGAAAGGCAATATGCAAAATTCTTCGATAACTGATGCATATCAGACAGCAGATTCTGTGAAAAATTGCCTGTAGAAGTATTATCATTGCAAAATAAAGAAAAAAAATGTAGTGATGACAGGTACTGTCTTTCCAATCAAATATATGCAAGAACGCCTAAATTGCTCAGTCGTACCTCCTGCATATCAGCAAGACTCTGCTCATGTATTTTAGTTGATCCTGGAAGATAAAGAGAACCTCCAGCACCAATAGCATTTGCTTGAACACGAGACACAGTGAGCAGGTTTTGAACCCTCCTAGAAAGTTCTGCTCCAGATCCTTTCAACTGTGATTGCATCTGCTTTCAGTACAAACTCTTGATGACAGCATAGAAAACGCAAAATAAGAAGATCAGAGGATAGGAAGGCTAGCCTGTCTAGTTATTGCAGCCAACTTCTCAGCCAATTCAACTTCCCCTTTCATTAAAGGCAACCTGCAGCCCTTATCCTCTAATGCTTCGACGATTCTCATCATCTTAACACCACCATACAAAAATAAAAGTCAACATAATTACACCCAAAATATGCATAAATTCTAGCATAAACCATAAAAACTTCCCTACTACATTACAACTAACTCCATATCCAGCCTTACCACACACCTAAGGCAGTTGTAATTACTAGCATTGGACCAAGCACATTCTCTTATCCTTTACCTTTTTATTTATTTTGTTGAGTTTTGGTGGCGGGAAAAGGGTTGGCAGATCATCAAGCAAGAAAAAAAACAGGAAGAATGGCTTTTCTGCCAAAAATAATTATGTTTCTTATCAATGCCTACGACCATGCCTATCATTTCTAATTGGTGCTAAAAAATAATCAAAATTTGTTCCCACCTTTAAGAGGCGCCTTTGAAGGCTTTGCTCCTTTTGTCGCATTCTCTGGATCCAGGGAAGAGTTTCAGCTTGAAAATGCCTTTGGAGCTGCAAAAAGAATAGCACGTGAAAAACAAACTCCAGACAGTAATCTGCAGAGATCAATGGAGGATACAGTACCATTTTTACATTGCTCTGGGTCATTCGCAATCTCTCAGCATCTGAAAGGATGACTTCGTCTTGTAGCTGCCAGCAACCCAGCAATATAAAAAGTCAAGGGTTCAGCCGACAGAGGCCACTCACAAAATAAAATAAATGAGAAGTGAAAATGCATGGCTACTAAAAGACCAAGACTTGGGGTACATGTAAGTGCTCATAGAACTTAAAAAGTTAAAAAATAATGTATACATTTGACCACATTTATCACCGTTTCTTCCAAATATTAGCAACAAAGTAATAACAAACTAACTATCCTGTCCAGCCAGAATAGTAAAAGCTCTCCCATTTCTATATCCTTGCACATAAATCTACTTTGTTATATCCTTGTCCAGTATCTTTCAAGGTTCCATGCAGATTCTAAAAGTCAGAGGCACCGACAAACAAAATTCCATCAGTTACGCAATGCACAATCACAATAGTACATGAGATTCTTTAATTAGTTACATCAGAATAAGTTCGTTCTGAAATAGCCGTCATTAGTTACCAGTCTCAAAATTTATACGCATCCAAATATTGCTCTAAGAATCACTTCCTAATGAAGATTTTCCAGACAATAACAACACAAAGAAACAATATAATAAGAAAAATCACTCCACATCTCAAATAAAAACAATAATTACCTTCAACCGCTGTGAAAGATCCTTAAAACCGTGAACAAGCTGAGGCCAGAGTCTTTCCCGATCAGCACTCTCCATACCTTCCAGTTTTGCCATAGCTTCCACCCACATGATCTACAAATGTAAACTATCATCCAATCTTAGTAAAAGTAGAATTGAATGAACCCAACAAAAAGAAGAGAAGATTAATAGTAAAAAAATTGCACAAGGAAATGCTAGAAAACTTACATCCGATATACCAGTTGGTTTTGCCCTGAATTGCGGGTCTATTACACTAAACAATAAATGCTGCACAAAAATTAACTCAACCATCAATACACACGCGAACCACCTAAAACTCCTAAAACTCTAATGCTTTATTCGTTAACGTAAAAGAAAATCAACAAAATAATGATTCGAAATAATTACATCTCTCACAGTTAAGTAACCACAGGAAACAGAAACAATGTAGCTTCAAGATAACAACATTACAATTGGTCTTCCTCTTGATTTAATCGAAAATAATTAAAATTTGAATTAGACGTGGGAAGGAAACGAACCTTGAAAGCATACTTAGGGTTCCCAGGCTCCTCCTTGTAAGCATCCACAATCGTCTAACAATCAAAGAGAAGAACAATAATTAAAGAACTGAAAGTAACCTAGGGTTAGGGTTAGGGTTAGAGTTAGCAATTTAAAAAGAAAGAGAATTTACTTGAATATCACGATCGGCGAGAGAGAAAGGGAGAGGAGCGACGGGTGCCATTTGAGTTGTCAATTGAGCATTGGGGAAGGGAGTAGATAATGGAGCCTGGAATCCAAAACCACTAGAAGGTGCTGCTGCGGCTGGCTGTTGCTGCTGAAATAATGGCGTCTGTTGCTGTTGCGTTTGAGAAGAGAATGGAGTGGAGAAAAGAGAGGAGCCGCCAAATCCCGTAGCGAAAGACGGAGTTGACGGAGTGCCAAATGCCGGCGCCGAAGAAGGGTACCAAACGCCGGAGTCGAAGAAGGAGTTCCAAACGCCGGCGTCGAAGAGGGAGTTGCGAAGGCAGGAGTGGAAGGAGTGCCAAACGCTGGCGTGGAAACTTGAGCTCCGAACATTGTAGGATCTCTCGATTACCGAGTTTGTTGTTGAAAGCTCAAAACGAGGAAGGGGAGGCGGTGTTCGTTTTTATGGTGAAGTCGCCATTCGCAATGAGGCTCAATTTGCTGCTTCGATTTTCCTCTTTGGATTTTTGAAATTTTTATTTATTTTTAAAAAGATTTTAGAGGGTATGCGGCTTTGCCCAAAAGAAAACAATGTTTGTGACAGAAATACGTTTGAAGCGGAGGTTGCTGTTTGGATGCAGACACGAAATAGTTATTACATTTCATTTTGTTCTATTTTTAGTAAACCAAACACAAACGTGGCATTAGCGTGCCATGAACCAAAGAACAATGAAGCAGGATCAATAACAGGTAGCCTGATGTAAGAAAGAACAATCAAGAAAACAAAGAAGAAATCCAATTAATTAGCACAACATCAGCAAAATAATCCAACAGAAAGATTTGGAACCAGACATGTTCATTGTTCCCAAAGAAATTAATTGCCATAAGAAACTTAATACATTCAAATGAACTTAAACATTCTAGAATTCATGGAGATCCTTGATTATATTATGCATGATGTTGCCAAATGAGATATGTGTAGTTGGCAATGATTCTTTCAAGCTTTGATTGTCACACTGCATAGGCACAAACCAGAAGGCCTTAAATCAGAAGTTTGCCATTCTGAACCAGGGGCTGCATTTGGATCATACAAAAGTGTATGGTAACTAGGGTCTCCCTCCACAGAGAATAGTAAAAGTTTCCCATCCAGTACCCCAAAACGAAACCCTATACTCGTGCTTCCTGTCAATGGAACGGGAACCATCTTCCAGGAATTGTCCTCTGGATTAAATATTGCCAGCTTCCGCTGGTTCTTCCACTCCATGCAGAAAAGCTTTTTCTCCAGCACAGCATGGGCAGTGACCATGACACAACCATTCTTCATCTCACACCACGTGTGCTTCTCAGGGTTGTACACATCGATAAACCTTGAATTTCCAATTGTGAAGCTAGACCTTCCACCCAAGACATAGAGTTTTCCATTCAATCCACATGCAAAACAACCCCATCGTGGACGGCGTAGACTTTCAATAAGGGTCCACTTGTCTGTATCAGGGTCATACACCTCTGCAGTGGAGAGGCTCTCAGCTTCAATCCCATAGCCTCCAACAACATAAACCATGCCATTTACCTCCGCGCAGGCAAAATCATAGCGAGCAACATTCAAGTCTGCTAATTTGCTCCAGCTGCAATTATGAAGATGTGTTAAAAGCAACAAGAATGAAAACAGTTGCAATTCTTTTCACACATGTTAGGCAGGGGGAGGAGGAAGAGGGAGGGTGTTTCTAAGAGTACCATGGAATGGGAGACCATTCATATAGTCAGTCGTGGTTAATTCAAATGCTTGAAGACTGCCAAATAGTTATTGCAAGAACGTATCAATTTCCCTACCCAACTAGCAGTTAGTTATCTATTACTGATCACAAGTTAATTTGATAACTGTTCAAAATAGATAGGATTCATTAAAACGAATATAACAAGAGGGGCCATTCAAGAAACCTTAAACTCTGTTCCACTCTAATCAATCTTATAATATTAGAGAACTTCAATTATGAAACAGTTTTAAACCAAATCTTTTAAATTAATAACCTAGTTTTTGGCTGATAGAAATTAAAATATTTAAAAGGATTAAACATCATCACTGAACCTAAAATGGTTCAGTTTGTAAAGTTCCAAACCAGTCGTAGGGAGAATTTCAAGCCTCATTATATCAAGTGTAAATCGAAAACAAACCTGTTAAGGCAAGAATCATATTGGTAAACATCAGCTGAGGCAGAGCCAGTCCCATTGATTACAGAGCAGCCTGCCATGACAAGAAGCTTTCCATTAAGGACGGTTGCCCCAAATCCAACTTTTCCAGGACCAGGCATTGGTGGAAGAAGCTGATGTTTCTGTCCAAAACAATCCAAAACCTCCCAGTGGCTTTCCTTTCCTTCAGAATCCATAGTTAGAACATAAAGCCACTCTTCAAGCACTCCAGCTATTCTTCGCTCTGTTAAGAATTCTTTGCTTCGGATGAATGATCTCCACCTCTTGCATACACCACCCATGGCAGGGAAGCTGGAACGAGGAACAAGCGCAAGGCAATACTTGGCCACATCATCTGGAAGCCCCGGAAGCAGTGGGCTGTCTAATTCATCAGTGGCCTGACCAGATGAATGAGGATTACCTTTTGGATGAATCAGTATATCTTGATTAACCGGGGAGGACAGACACATATTGGGTTCTGTGATTCTCTTCTTTCCTCTCACAAAACCAGGCATTTTCTAGATTATTCTTGTATTTGGTACAAATATATCTCCCAAAGAATGCTTCAACACTTTTAAATGCTAGACAACTGACTAAAGAAACTCATGAAATCCGTCACCTATAGGAATTTTACAACACCAAGGCATAAGCGATGTTGCAGTACGGATCACTTGAGCTGCAAATGCTGAGGATAGTCTATGCTTCATCCAGTTTGATTCATATTCCATGCCAGAGGCCCTGCTCTTTGCGTAGTTACTTCCTGTTGCACTGGGTAAAGTTCTTTGCACACCTCTGTACTTGTTCCTTTGCCCACACATCGCCCAAATATCTAAATACAAGAGTGCCAAAGCATAGCAAATTAGTATAAAGATAGGAAACCAAGGAAAGAATAAATTACCTACAGGTCATAGTCTAAGAAGTCAGAAAAATCATACCTGTGAAGACCATAAAATTCAGCAAGTTTTAGCCCCCAGTAACGTCCATTTTGATGGAGCCAGTAATCACCTTAACATACAAAGTAAAATGAATAAAGGTCAACCAAAATTTTACCAAACACCAATTCATGTAGAATAAAAAGTTTAACACAACACATTTTGACTAAACTTGTGGAGGCCAGCACCAGCATCTACAGAACTGCTTGGAAACATCCAAATCCAATCATAAGAACAAAATAGAAAATACTAATATTGGTAACCTCCTCTCTATGATTCTAAACTTAAAATTTCAATGTGTTGCCATTTTTGACTCCAAAAGCATTACTTTTTTCTGCAGTGGTAGATAGACAAACCGGGAGAACAAGTCAAAGGCCTTACTATATATTCCCTTTAACTTATAAGGGCTCAGATCTCGATTTCAACCACCCACCTACCAGACGGAATATGAAATATTATGTCTATAAGTGTGCGACTACTTTCTTTTTCTCTTGAAAATTAAAAAAATAAAATAAAATAAAAATAAGAAAAAAAGAATCAACTTTCACTAAAATCATGGAGAGATCAGAGATCAGGTGCAATTTCCTCAATCATCATAAACATATCAGAAAATCAGAAAAATTTAAGAGGGCAGCAAATTAGAGCGCTCAAATTGTCAAAGACGTGTGTAATTAAGGGAAAACTTGATTGAATTTCGAACTGGGGCCGAAAAAAATCAATCAAAACAATGAAATTCAGATTCCCTGCGCATGGAGAGAAGAATATTGAGAAACATTAGATCTGAACATGAACACTAAAACATCCAAAGACCGAATGTAAAAAAAAAAAAGAAAAAAGAAAAACCGAATCAAATCTAAACTAGAAAGAGCAAAGAACCAAAAAAAAAAAAAACAGAATTTGGATAAACACATGTAAAAGCTTATCGAAATCGGACTGTCATCTCATATATGGAAATCAAGAGAAGAAAAAAAAAAGAAAGATAAGAGAAACTATACAGATAATGTAAAGATAAGGTTACCTGAAAAAAAGGAAATAATACGTTATTATTATAAGATAAGCAGAAATGGGGTGTTTGTTTGATACAAAAGTGCGAGGATGAGGGAAGGAATATATAGGCATAAAATAGCAGGGAAGATAGAACTGACAGGGCATGACCACGTCGGTAATGAGATTTCTACCCAGGAGGAAAGGTTCTATTCCCAAATTAAAATAATTATTGTTATTATTTTATTCTCATTATCGTCTTTGAAATTACAGTAATTTGTATTTAATAATTATATTATCAGCAATTTTAAAATTTTACGTGTATGTAATCTTAATTGAAGTGATAAAATCATTGTCTTAAAGAGTGATTAAGTTATTTATAATAATTTGTAAAATTTTAGTTTTCAAAACTTAGATTTTTAAAAATTATTTTTGTCAAAAAAAATTTAAAATTATAATATTATATTTTTACTTTAAGTTCATACTTTCCTTTATCATTATAATCGGTAGAATATTAAAAATTTTGTGACTCAAAATAAATCAAATGTTTATAAAATATGAAAATTTTAAAATTAAAAAAATTATATATTTTAAAATTTATTTTCAGTAAATATTTAATATATTTAATTATAAATTATATAATTTTTAATTATATTATTTTTAATATATTTTTATTGTATTAATTTTATATTAATAATTAATAATCTTGTTTAAAAAGTTATTAAGTTAGATTCCAACTTAACTATTTAAATAAGTTTTTTTTTTGTGAAGACAAAAAAAATTAAAAGTTCTCATTATGATATATTTATACTAATTAAATAATATTAATTTTGATATATTAATTTAAATTATTAATATTATAATTGATTAATATAAATGATAATAATATTATTAATATGATATTATTAATAATTAATTATATATAATAAAAACTAATATATTAGAGGAATTAAAATAATTTAAAATTTAAAATTTTGAAAAAGCCTAAAAAAATTCAATTTTTTATATTAGAGATATTAAATTTTAAATTTTATGTAATTACAAAAATTAAATTTTAAATTTCATGTGAGTATAAAGATTAAAATACAAATTCATATAAATATAAATATCATTTACATAATTTAACAATTGATTTAATTAATATCAATTATCACGTCAACAAGTTAATGCTACATTAGCATGTCAACAATCATATCAATTATTTAAAGAAAATCAAGTAACACTGTTATCAATTTGATCAATATTATTAAATTAAACTAATATAAATATTTAATTTTTGTAAACTATTATACAAGGATTAAAGTTTAAATTTTTATAAAGTATTAGAAACTAATTGCATAAATTGACCATGAAGGTATAATAGTATTCAATTTTATTTAGTTAGAAACAAGTATATGCGTGGTTGGGTTGCAATGAAAATGTTATGACCATAAAGAACGTAGTGAGAAACTATTTACATTCAATAACATTGACATGTTAAATTTACTAACATATTCCGCTTAATGACATGATTACCAAGTGCAAAATTATTTAATATATTGAGTTTTAAATTTTAATATAAGATTTTTCATATATCTCCTTAAAGTATGATTAAAAATTAATAATTTAATATATAAATAATGAAACATTGTCCTATGTGATATTATTTTGATTTTTTTACAATTAAAAAATTTTCCTAACAAAATATAAAATAATTATCTCTAGTAAATGCTAGTAGTAATTTTTATTTCTTTTAGATAATGTTTGATATCATTTTTAAGATTATAATGGTAATTTAATTATCATATTCATAAGATTACAAAGGGAATATAATCACTTGTGATCTTAGATTATTATGTTTGATATAATATTTTAAATCACCATTAATTTAAAATTTTTGTATTTGATATTATATAAAAAATAAATGATATAATATAAAATATCCAAAATAACCTTAAAAAATAAAAAATAAATATTTATTGACTCAATAATTTATAAAATAATTAAATGTTATTTTATAGAAAATTAAAAAGTATAAATTAATTTTGATTAAAATAATTTTTATAAATAAATTTTGATTAAAATAATTTTAAAAAATTATATTTTTAATCAATAAACATTTATTCAATTGCAATAAAAAAATTTTTAAAAATAAGTGATTAAAAAAATCAATTTTTAAAAATTTGTATTAACCAACTTTGGGACAATGTTATTAAATTTTTTATTAAAATAAATTAATCAAGGATAATATTAAAAATTACTTTCTTACAATAATAAAACTCTTTTATCTTATAAAATTGAAATCAGATCAATATAATAATTTTATTACTCTGAAGATTTAAAATTACTATTTAATAACAAATATATTATTAAATACAAATTATTGTGACTTTTAAATTAATCAATTCACGTAAAATACTCTCGTGATGCGACATTATAAGAAAAAAATATACTATCACATCCATATGCCTATGATTTTGAAAGAAAAAAGGCAAGGGTTGACCACAGAATTTGCTTATCTATTCTCACTTTTCAGTGTCATCCATTATCTTTGTTTATTCCCAAAAGCAGTGGCTGATATTTTTCCTATTTCCACTAAAACAATTTCATTTTGCAATGATCAAATTATCCTTAGTGCTTTTAAGATTTGTTAATGTCATTAATTCTGAAAATCTAAAAAATTACTCGAACAATTTTATCTTTTAAAAAAGACATCTCTATAAAACAAATAACAATTTACGTAACGTGCGCCGATCACCTTCGTGGTGGCCCCGTCGTCGATAAAAATCCACGATGACATCAACTGGACAGTTTTTATTTACGTCTGGTGCATGGCATTGACGTAATTTCCGTTAAGATGAGTGAGCTTGTTTTGGGGGAAGATAAAGGTTTTTTTGGGGGTGGCTGTAACATTGAGTTTGTCTTTCTGGGTTCAAGAGCGTGGTGGAGTCCGGTCGAAGTTGACGGCCAATAGGCGATTTGGATCTTGGTGGGCCCACGTCGATGGGGACGGGGTAGCTTAGACTGCCCGTTGAGGCCATAATAAAGGGCTGGGATTGGCTTGGTATTATTTAAAAGGAAAGACAGAGAGGTGTGGTCGGGCAGAGTAATGGGAGCCTGGTTACCGCTGAGCACTCAAATCTATAAGACTCTAAATAGCTGGTTCAAGATAGTTATGCGGTCCAATGTATGGGCATGGTTGGACACTGATAGAGCCACACAGATGCCGAGTTTTTTTCCCAAACTTTTTAAAAAAATTTTTAAATTACATTCGTAATTAAATATTATATTTTATATAATTAATTAATTAAAAAATTATTTAAAAAATCAAATATATTATTAATATATATATATATTTAAAACACATATCACTATACTAATCTCATTTATAAAATTTAAAAACTCCAATTATAATGTCAAATAATTCCTAAAAATTATAATTTAATTAAATAATTAAATTTATCTATAATGAAACTTAAATCTAAAATTTTAAAATTTATTATTTATCATTAAGTAAAAATCTCATTGACTTTTCCGTGCTCTTATAAATCTTTATTTTCAAAATAAGATATTTTTATATTTATTTCCTGAAATAAGATGTTTTTGATTAAAAAAAAAAAAAAGAAGTGCATGTCATCACTCATAAGTTCTTTCTTTCTCTCTTTTCTCTCTTCTATTCTCTTTTATATGAAATTTTAACAAAACTTCCATCATAAATTATTTTAAAAAGAGAAAATTTATTAATTTTTTTTATATTTTTATGGATACAACAGAAAACTAAATCAATCTTGAGAAAAAAAACACCAACAATATTTTTCTAAAAATATAAAGTAGAAAAAGAAAAAAATTTTAATGTAACTTTCATTTTACAAAAATTGTTAAAAATTAAAGAGACTATTTTTTCACTATTTGCAATCTAAATGTGAAAAAAAAAAAAAAAAAATTGTTTGCCAGCTATGAGTTATTCGCCCTGAACCATATTTGAGTTCGCTTGCATTAGCAAAAGTCTTTAAGAGAAAGGCTCACTTCTCCAATGAGTTTCACCAAAAATTGCAAATGGATTAGATATTATCAAGGAAAAAGAGAAAAAAAAAAAAGTAGATGCAAACCTGAAAAGTTTTACACGTAGATGATGATATAGCTTGAAGTATACCTATAAAAAAAAAAAAATAAAAGTACTTCTGTTTGAGAATAAAAATTTTAATTTACCTTATCTTAAAGAAAAAAAAAACTCCACAGTTGCCTTCACGTATATCCAAATAAGACCAAATGTTCAACAATGAAACGATGAGATCAATGCCTTTCTTAATTTGTAAAAGTGTACAGCCCACCAAGTGGGCTAGAGCCAACCCACATGCTACCATAGCCAAATTACGATAGAAAAATGGAAAAACAATTAGACTAACAATTTATTCTGCCATTCTTTTTTTTTTCTTTAGTGTTACTATTTTATATGGAAATGTCATTGACAAGTTGCTTCCTAATTCATGTATTGTTTCGTATTTATCTTTTTTTTTAAATTTTAATTTATCCTTAAATTTGTTCTATCCAATTATTTATTTATTGAAAAAAAAATTACGAGTATAAATTTTTTTAAATTTATAATTTTTAAATATCAACTTTAATAATATATTAATTAATTTAAAAAATAATCAATTATTTTTATTTTATATTAAATATATATAATATTTAAAATTATTATATTAAATTTATGTTTAAAAATATAATATTTATTTTATTAAATTTATATATAATAAAAATTTTAAATAATATTATTTATATATATTTTTATACCATTCTCATTGCATATCATTATGTTATATTTAAACTTATTAAACCTAACTTTCTCTGTACCTTCCTATTTCAATTAGATCCAACCAATTAACATTTATAAAAGGCTGTCGTTATCAGATTTTCTCATCGTAGGGAAAAGGAAATCAGAGTGCTAATCTGAAAACCAGCCAACTGGGAGTTGCGAATAGATGTGATAGGCACATGAACGTTATTTCAGTTCGGAGCACGATTTAGAAAATTGAATGTCATAATCTTGGTCGAAAATCATAGCCAATTAAATACTCGGAAACAACCCAATTAATTTCTTCAATCTTATTTACCTGCTGGAGATTACTAGGAGTTTGATCTTATCCGCGACTAGCAGTTTCTTTTTTTTTTTTTAATTTTTGGTCAAACACCTGCCGACCAGCGCTTGCCCACCATTGCTTGTGGTTCGCTAGTTTTTTATTTGACTTCGTTCTCGCATCCAATGCTGAATCATCGTGGGAATTTGATTCTATCCTATGATATATGACCTTTTTCAAGTGTATAATTTTTTAACCTCACTTTGTTGTGTGAAAGTTTTTCCTAGAAAGTTTCTTCATATATTCATCCAATGCCTGAACCTACTTTAAAATTGGTACTCACCTTCCACCCCTCCCTAGAAATAAAGTCATTACATCCAAACATAATTTTGGGGTCAAGTCATGTAAGAATTAATGATCCTTTGGCACGCCAAGCGGCCTTTTAATTCTGTTCTTACAGATAATTTCGTCTGCAAAATCCTGATAATTACTAAAAGTGAAAAAAAATAATAAAAAAATTTAAAATTATAATATTCGATTAAATTAGATAAAATTTTTTTTATTTGATTCAAATAAAATTTTGATATTAAATGTATCTATTAAATTTGAATTTAATTTAAGATAAAAATATAAAAAATAAAAAATAAATCGAATTATATATTTTAAATTTTTATAAAATAAAAATAATTATTTTATTTATAAATTTATTTAAATACATTAAAATTTTTATTAAAATAATATAAAAAATTTAAAATATAAAAATTAATAAAACAAATCAAATTAATAAAATTCAATTTGAATCATATTGGTTTAAAAATATATATATTTTAAATTTAAATCAAATTTTAAAAATTTATAATATTATTATTATTTAAAAATATTAAATCAAATTTGATTTAAATTAAACCGCTATCACTTTTAATAATTATTTTATTTTTATACGTATCAATTTACTAAAAATCACTTTGGATGCGTGACGCAAAAATTTAAAAGAATTTTAAAAAATTTTCAGTGCGTTATATTTATTATTTTATGAAGCCAAAATCAACTGGAATATAAGAATTTAATGATGAGATGGTTTAAGGTTGCTATTACAATTTTTTTGTCCGCTATGCAATTTATAAAACCGACTGACAAATAATGAAAATATATACTATCATAAGAATCTAATTTGAAATGGTTTAAATTCAAAAGGTTTGAAATACTTATTCAAAATGATTCAAAATTAAATTTATTAAATTTGAAAATCAATAATTTAGATTCGAAAAAATACGAATTTAATAATTTAAACATGAATAATCTGAATATCAACTTCAAAATACACTAACTTGAGATGATCTAAACCTAAAACAACCCCAATTTATTTCCAAAAAATAATATAACCAAAATGATTTAATCCAAATTCGATTTGAAATATTCGATTATAATCTCTAAATCGACTTAAAAAAGCAATTTCTGCAATTGCTTGGAAACTCGTTGCTCCTTACCCAATCCAACAACAGCAATATTTCTTATCGGAGTTTCGCATGCAGAAAGTCTGGGCCAAGGGCAAAAGAAAAGAATTCTAAAAGGGCCTCTTGGTTGGGCCCTAAAACTTCCAATCGATAACGTGTTTCAACGGAGCTCCGAGATCTGGGACCCAACCGTCGCCAATGTCGATCACTTGCTCGTGCTTATCTCGATGGAGCAGCCGACGATCGAGCCCTTTATGCGTACAAGATTCTTAGTTGAAGCTGAGTCCTGTGGAATTCCCCTCACGCTTTCTTTGAACAAAAAGGAACTCCTTGATGAAGAGTTTCGAATATTGATACTCTCTTCGTTGAAGTTACCACAATTGTTCGTTCTTTGTTTTGGCATTATAATTTCAACGGTAGAGTTTACAAATTTATAAATAAGACATTGGAATTAGAACAATGGATCATAGGACAGATAGTTGAGAGAAACGTGTTGGAGTAAATAGAATTTTCCATAATGTTTCTAGCTCTACTCTATTTATTGAAGTTTCTGTAATCGCTGGTTGTTTGTTTATGATATGGTAATTTTACTTAATCTGTTCTACTTTGGGAAAGAAATGAATGAATTGCTGCTGAAAATAATGCTTATTGCAGTTTGTGTTATTTTATTTTATTTTTACTAAGAAGTCGTGACCTGTGATATTAGAATGGATTATACGGAGATTTAAATCTCAAAGTTGTTTGATGCTAATTTTAAAGTAGTTGAATGAATTAAATTATTTATGTTTCAGATTCTGTGTTTTTTTTGCTTAGTGTCCTTACTGTTATTCACTTCGAATTATTGACAAATTTGTCTTTCTTTTCTTGTTTCTGGTATTCTTGTTTTCTGTTTGGTGGTTTTCTTGGAAAATTACATATTGGGGCTCTGAAATGCATGTGCAGACACTTATTTCATGGAATAATAGGTTGGGAAGTTGGGATTACGAACCGCGTATTTGCAGCGTCGAGAAAAAAATGGCATTGATTCTCTTGCGTTTTACTTGAGGGACCAAACAACTGTAATCGTGGGTCCAAGTGGGGTTGGGAAATCAAAGCCTTACTAATATTCTGAGAAGTAATCACCTTGTTTCCTTATTCTCTAAGACGTCTTTCTTCATTTCTCCTTTCTGTGTTGAGAATGATTAAGTGCTGCTCTTTTCCTTAGATTTTGAGCAGCAAGTGGTTTGAGGATCAGATTGTTGGGGAGGTTTCAACAAGAAGTGGCGGAGGAAAACATGGTACTCGACATGTTTCTTTGCTTCCACTGTCAAGAGGGGGCTATCTCGCTGATACTCCTGGGTTCAACCAACCTAGTTGGATGAAGTGACAAAGCAATCTCTTGCCCAAGCTTTCCCTGAGGTTGTTTGCCTGCTGACTGTATATATCATACACAATTTGGTTGCACTTTACCCTCTATGTTCACTGCATCAATTTCAAATGTACATTTTGTTTCATCTGATTTTTCTTTTACTCCTCTTTCCAGATCCGGGAAATGCTATAAAGACAGTGAACCTGAGAAATGCTCATTCAATGATTGCTTACATCTCGGTGAACCAAGGTGCACTTTGAAAGGGGATTGGGAAAGATATACATACTACTTTCAACTTCTTGATGAGATTAGAATCAGAGAGGAATTTGAGCTGAGGACATTTGGGACCAAGAAAGAGGGTGATGTTAGGTATGTAAAACCAAGATATGGGCATATGCAAATCACCTAAAAGTTCTGCCTTAAGGAATATCCTTTTCATATATTTATATATAATCTGTAGAGTGGAGACAACTTCACATAATTCAAGTAGAGGTACAAACATTACGAAAACTGCCCACTGCTCAGTGCTTTTATCTTTCTCTAATAAGATAATTTGACATCAAATCTTGCAATAAGGAATCCTTTTCAAACTTCTCCAGTGCTTTTTCATATCTTCAGGATTGTGTTACTGGTAACTGGCACCAGGTTTTACACTTCTGAAATGATAATCTAGTGAGAAATGCTTAAACAAAATTTTAAAATTTACATTTCTAAGCAATTTCCTTCGAGTTGAAATACTATGAGAAAACAGTGTCTTTGTTCACAAAACTAATGTAACAAATATCTATCTTGGAAATTACCCAAACCCATGTTTTATTACATGCTCTTTTTTTTAACTGTTCATGAAGTACTGTTAATATTTAAGAAAAAAGCGTGCTTTCATTTTTTTTTTCTTCAATTTTGATGTTTTCCCAGATTTTCATCCAAGATAGGGTTAGGTTCTGTCACTAGCAAAATTGTGAACATATCCCCTTTGGTTCTGAAATCTGAAATGCCATTTGCAGGTACAAGGTTGGAGACATGGGTGTTCAGCAAGCTGAACCTCAACTGGAACCAGAAAAACATAGGAGACAACAGCGGAAAGGGATTAACCAGTCAATATTAGATGAATTAGATGAACTGGATGATGAATATAGCTTAGAAAATGATCCAATTGTAAGAGCAATAAAGAATGAAAACCAATAGGAAATTCACTGACCTTGTACTGTACAGTGTGAATAATAAGATTCTTAACCCTTTTTCGTGGATGAGAATGTGAATTTGATGTTTTCCACTAGCATCTAAATCTTTGATGCTAATGAGATTTGTCCAGTCTTTTTTAGCAGTATGATGACATGCTCAGGGTTTTACTCAGCTGCCAGAGTGCAGATATGGTCCTCAGCTACCAAACGACAAATGAGGTCCCTAAGTTATATCCAAAGCCAACAAAATTTAACAGCCACCACAATGAAATCAAGGAAATCTAAAGCACAACCCAATAAAAAGACATTTTCATCTCAGCTTCCAGTAAAGATAAAGAGATGTATAAGAAGGATTCTCTTCAACTAATTGTTTCATAGTAATATATTAGAGGCACAAGAAGAAAGAGAAAAAGATGCATAAGAAGAATTCTTTTCAACAAATTGTTTCATAGTTCAGAAACTTCGGGGAAACAAGTGGACTACAGTATCCATTGATGCACATAAAGGCACAAAACATTCAATTCAGCCTCCAAGCAAACTCTAGTGATGCTAAGATCAAGTTAAATTGACCTTACTTCTGGGTGGCTTTCTTCTTCAAACTCACAGCCACCTGTGGCTTGTGATGCTTCTCAACTTCATTGGGATCCAACCAATTGAGTGGGTTGCGATTGAAGAAAGGCCAATTTGGAACAGTAATCAATGTGGTGAGAGTCACACCACCAGCATACACGAGCATCATCAGATGAAACGATCCCAATACATAACCTGCAACCAATGCAATCACTGCAAACACCAACAAACTTATCTGCATTATCTGCTCCACAAACTTTTGCCCTTGCCAATCCATCTACAATCCAATTCAACATCAACATAACCCAAAATATAAGTAACCACAAAAACAATGACCCAAAACAATTAAAGAAACCATAACTACAACTACATCCATCCTTACTGAAGCTTTATCAGATGAATGAATTTCTCCTAGAAAAACTTGTCAAGCAACTAGATAAAATGATATAATTTTCGAATATGCTGCCATGGTTTGGGGGTTTAGGGACATTGGGCAATTCACTACACAAGAATCCCAATCCCCAAATTGCTTCCGTTCTTTGTTAAACCTTAGAGATCATTGATTGTGACTTTGGGAGCGAAGATCGCTAAACCAAAGCCCTAAATGTTGTTTGGTTAACAAAAGAAAAGAGAAACTCAAAGTCACGGAAGCTAACTGTTCACTAAATTCTAGGATCATCAAAATCACTCGGGATCAGAAGATAGGAAATTGAGAATCAAACATTGATGGCTAAACCTTATGTCTATGTTTGGTTTCAGAGAAAATAAACTTGAAATCCTCATAGCCTTCAAAGCGGAAATCACCATAAAACTTGTGAGAAAATCCGAAGACAAGCAAAATAAATAAAAATTGAGTTGAATCGGAAACTCTAGCCATAGAATTGTGACTTTCTAATGAATGAGAGTAGAAAAAGCAAAACTTACGGGAAAGCAACGTGAAGAGTGGAGTGAGGGAGAAAGATGTCTGAAAGTGGAAGTCAATAACAAGGAAGAATCAACGAGTATGATCATAACGTTTACCAGCATGATGATACCCGCTCTTCTTTGCGGCTCATAAAGGAGTAGAATGTAATTAAACAACCCCATATTGATTAATAAGAATATGTAAAATTAAATAAAATAGATAATTTAATTAAAAGAAACTCTTAAATCAATTAGGGAAGATAAACAATATGAATTGCATATGGGCTTAATATCAACAAATAAATCCATTAGTAATGTGCATAAAGATGTTTTTCTGTCATATCTTCTAACTTAATTCACTTTTATAAATTATAAAATCCTTTAATAAAAAGAAAGTGAATAATGAACTTATCTTCAATCACACAATTGATCATAACTCAAACTCTACTTTTAGAAGAAAAAAGTCTGAATAAAACATCAATTGGGAGAGTAAACTACTTAAAGAAAGACATAAAAATTTTCAACATAAATGCAATCACTCTATTTTCTACTTTTAATGGGACATATTTGCTAATCTATGGATCTCATCCACAATTTCTTTTTTCTATTTTCATCACCAATGACATTCCGACATAGTTCGAATGTAATTCATGTTTTTTTTTTAAAATGAAAAAGACATTAATATTACCAATTACAATTAATATTAACAAATAATATTATAATGTAAATCATAGAACTATATTTGAATTAATTAATCAAAAATGTACTTTTTTTTATCAATTCTTCAATAATAATCTTATCAAAAAGTATAATCTACAAAGAGAGAATATTTTAATGAAAGCAATCCATAAGAACAAAATAGCATAAGATTTAACATGCACACATACAAACAAATTCCTACATAGCATTCAAACACGCAAATACACATTAAAAAAAATACATTTTCCATTACTATAAATCATGATTATCCTAAACAAATGAAAAACAAAAATAAAAATACAACAAGATTCAACATTTTATATTTGTTGCCAATTTATTTATATTTCATTAATTCAATTAAAAATAAAATAATAATTCATATTCATTAAAATTTAAAATTAAAAAAAATCCTTTTGATCTACCTTAAATTCACTAAAAGCTTTAAGCCTATCAAAAATTTATTCCATTGGAGCTTAAAAACTTGAAAATGAAAACATCAAAAAATTGAAAAAAAAAATTAAAACTTAGACATTTAAAAGACATGGATGTTAGGCCCATGCGTTGTACCTATCACATTGGACATTGTTCTTAAGTTATTGTGATTGTGCTTATGTATGGTAATTATGAACCCTTTGGGTCTAGGAAAGTTCCTATCAAATACAAACTTTTAAAGCCATGACTACTGGGTACCAACAACCATAAGCTTTTCAATTCCCAAATCATTTTGCTGGCTTTGAAAATTTATTCGATTATTAGGAAAAAAAGAAAATGAAATAATTTGTCAGTGTTATAGCAACAAAATGAAAAATGTGGAAAATTTGTATTGTTGTAAATCAAAAGAATGGTTGCAAAACCATGTCCAATGGGGTTTTCAGTCATTGCCACTAATTTGAACATCCAAATTCAATTACCTAGAGTAAATTATATACATCTTGCAAGTAAAGATATTTTTCTCTATCAAAATTAACTTATTCTAATTTGATAGTTACATTGTTTCAAAAATTCAAGACCTTGATATTCATTATTTTATTGTCATTATAATTTCCCCAAAATTTGTAAGGAAATGAAGGAACTAATAAAACAATCATAAAAGAAAAGGTAGATGTTGCCTTTATGGTGTCATGTACAAACAATGCCTAGCATATGAAAAGGTTAAATATAATAATTTAGATTCATTTCTTAATTTATATAGCTTTATTTTGTCTACCGTATGAAAAAGGTTAATATAGGATACTAAAAGAACTGCATTATCATTCCCTTAACAATGATAATAAGAATTATAAAACTTTAATTGGAAGTCATATAATAAAAAAGTTATTTTGTAACAACAAAAATATACAACACTCTAATTAAAAAATCTTGATCCAGACTCTAGAGGCTTAGGCAAGATGTTCAAATTTGGTAAAATTAAACCAGGCCTAGATATGGGCATTGGTGAGCAATGTGCGAACATACAATTGGATCGAGTTGAAGGCACTGATGCTCAAGGTATAGGCACGCCTAAACACCGTCCTGAGAGGATCATATTTTGAGGTTTCTAAAAGGCTTGGTGCTTAGCATAATTTTAGTAACTCAAAGATTGTGCTATAGTATCAAAACCCTAGAGTTAAGGATTGTAACATATCTTCTAGAATCAAGATATTTAAATCAGTGTAATCTCTAGAGTTTAGGAATGTAATCTTAAGTACTAATTGTAAGAGGGACTTAGCTATAAATAGAGAGTCCCCACCCTCATTGTACATACTAGAACCATAAAGCAAAATCTTTACTTTTGCCTTAACTTTTTGTTGTTCTTGTTTGCTTTTCTTAAAACACTTTTTGTGCCTTTTATTTTACAATGTTTTGGGAGGTCAAGCCCTACAGTCTTGAGTGCCTGAGCACCGTATCTTGTGTTAATTTGATCTAGGATGTGAAAAGTCCAATCTTCATGTCTTGGAATCATACGAGCCTGGAGCTTAAGTTTTTACCTGTGATAAATGGTATCAGAGCTTGGTTCGGAGGAACTTTTAGAGTAAGTGACAGAACTTGATACTAGAGTTATCAGAGCCTGGTTCAAACTAGAGGTGGTGATCAAAGTCTTGATTCAGAGTGTGTAACAGAACCCTGCTCGTGAAAAAAAGAGCCAAAGTTGCTGTGGATGCCAAAGTTGGCATTGGTGTAAGTCAGAGACCTTGTGTGCGGGCATCCTAGTGTGGTGTACAAGTATTATGGTGAGTTGTGCAGACATCCTACTATATGTGTAGGAGTTTAACTATGTGAAACGAGTAGTTTGTTGCATGGTATGGGCATTTTAAAATGGTTATTGTACTTGTATACTGTAAAACACCTCTGGTATGTTAGGTGTAAGCATGCTAGATGCTAAACAGGTGCTCGATAGATTACTGCTGTGTGTTGTAGGTGTGCTAGGTATGTTGTACAGGTGTGTAGACTGACCAATAGTGCAGGGTTTGCTAAGTTAGTGTACAAATTGGTACCTGATAATGTGTGTCATGCTGATAGACTGGTGTACGAAAACTAAAACTCGGATCACTTGAGTGCCTACTAAAGTTGAGGTAATCTTTTGGTTTGTGTATTTTTTGTTTAATAGTTTGTATGTTTTAGGCTATGGTATGACTAGGGAAATCAAATGAAGGCCCAAATGAGGTACGCGATGGGTGCCCATTTATAGACAAGTCGAGGAAGGCTAAGGAAAGATATGTGTTGATAAACACTCGATTGGCGAAGTGTGAAAAAAGCCATTCTTCAGTTAATAGATTGGCTCAGAGACATTAAGGGATTCTTAAATAAGGTAATGGAGAAGCATATATAGCGAAAGGAGCTAACCAGGTTCAAGGTTAACCATGCTGTATTGTTAATTACCATGGTTATTAATGCGGGCTTGGGTCCTAGAGTGGAGGTGCCTAAGCATTTCATGGATGGTCTAAAACTGTAGGTAAAGGTTGAGCTGTAACTTAGAGGCATGCAAGAGTTAAATTAGATCAGAGTTGTAATTTAGAGTCATGCAATAACTTAGGTTGAGTGCACTAAGTCTTCAAGGCCTAAGGAAAAGGCTTGGTGTTTGTTCTTTAGGAGAGCAAATAATTGCAATGAAACTTAGATTTCATAAAACTGACAGAGCCATTAGTAGGGGCAACGAGAAGAAACTCTTGACTTACTATTTTTGTATTGATCCACATTAGGTTAAAGAGTGCCTGAAGCTTTTAGCCATCAAGCGAGTGGATGGGCTATCTAAAAATAAGAATAGCAGCGGTGAATAGCATAAAAAGTAGCCCAATGAGATATAACTAGGTGCTATTCGAGATTGTCAAGCGGTTGGGGCTTCTCGAGGATCTAATGAAGGGAAAGCAATGGCAACTGAGTGCCACAATATAAGTCTTAGGGTGCAGTTAAATTCCTTGCAAAAGAGTGTGTCTAGGCGACTTAGAAGAAGTATCGACAGCACAGGGCAAAAAGGACCATTGCAGCAAGGTTCTGAGGAACTTAGGATTAAGAATAATAAAAGCCAATAGAGTACATGTTTAGGTATGGGATCAAAATATTGGAAAACTAGTTCGCGGGGTAGGAATAGAAATCAATGTGTAAGGCGAGCGCATCATTTACTTAACAATGAGGACGTTGCTAGAATAAGTAGGGGAGAATGTCATAGTCAATAAGTTGGTCCAGGCCTAGGGTTCTTTCTAAATCTAGTAAAAGTTCTAGATTTAGTAAGACTAAGTCTAATAATCAAGAGGACTAGGCCCTGAGAAGCACTAGAGGTCTAGGTTACAAGAAACTAGCCCAAAATAATGATGCAGGCAATGATTCATACTCCAAAGGCTCAAGTAAGGTGTTAATATTCTACACAGTTAAACTGATCCAGATGCGAGCGCTAGTGAGCAATGTGTGGACACACAATCGAATTAAGGTGAAGGTACTGATGATCGAGGTGTAGGCACGTAATTGGATCCAAGTGCGAGTGTCACGGGTCGAGACTTAAGCTTCGAACCCATGCTGCTCTTGGACCCGAGCATTCACCCTTCCGGTGTCCTAGATCAATTTTTCTGCCACGGTTCGTACCCTTATGAGGTATTGTCTGCTCTGGCCCCCCCTACCTCACAGTTTTATCTTACAAAAGGTGCCTCACAAGGAAGAGATGGTGTGAACCCTTATATATCCCAGTGACCTTCCTATTATGTTCGATGTGAGATTCAGGACTCCTCCTTAGGTCCGTAACATTCTTCTACACCCAACCTCGTGACGTCCTCGTCACGGAGGTTGGCCTCCCTGCCTACCTCCCTCGAGGTGGTTGACGTGGATCAAACGGTTTAGGGTTGGCTCTGATACCACTTATCACGGGTCGAGACTTAAGCTCCGAACTCGCGCGACTCTGAAACCCGGGCATTCACCCTTCCGGCATCCTAGATCAGCCTTCCTGCCATGGTTCACACCCTTGTGAGGTATTGTCCGCTCTGACCCCCCTGGCCTCACAGTTTTGTCTTACAAAAGGCGCATTACAAGGTGGAGGTGGTGTGAACCCTTATATATCCCAGTGACCTTCTTATTATGTTCGATGTGAGATTTAGGACTCTTCTTTAGGTTCGTAACACGAGCACGCTTGAACATGATTTTAGGAAGATCAAATTGGGGGCTTCTAAAAG